GTTGCATCTATGGTTTTGTACATGCTAGGCAAGCTCTCTACCCACTAAGCTACATCCCCAGCCCCTGTACAACATTCTTTCTTTAAGATTTATTTATTTGTGTATTTTATGTGTATGAGTACTTTGTCTGCATGTATATCTACAGACCAGAAGACGGTATGGGACAGTTGTATGTTGCCATGCGGGTGCTAGGAATTGAACTCAGAACCTTCAGAAGAGCAGTGAGTGTTCTTAACCACTGAGCCATCTCTCCAGCATCTCTCCAGCATTCTTGACACGGTAAAACTGTGCTGATGCTGCTGGGTGGGGTCTGATGGGGGAACAAGTGGAGGATGCCGAGGGGAGAGGGCACCGTATGGGCTAGAAAGAGAGGTTAATAAAAATTGCAGGAAGTTGTGGCTTTGACCTTTCCTCCTGCTCAAACAAAGCTAAAAATCAAAATGGAGTCAGTCAAGTTCCACATCCCTGAGCTAAAATTAAGCTGTTTGTCAGGCCTTCCCAGAAATGGGGATTGACAATAACAACTGAAGTTTCCAAACAGGCAGGTTTCCATGGGAAATTATGAGAGAGATTGCTTTAATCCACACACAAAAGAGCTTGCAACAGCAGGATGTTTGATCATCAGGCATCTTCCTATGCTGTTTCCCGGTCCGGCTGTATAAGGGGAGGAATTGGGAAATGACTGCACATGCGCACGTGTGTGTGTGTGTGTGTGTGTGTGTGTGTGTGTGTGTGTGTGTGTGTGTGTGTGAGTGTATACAGGCTTGTATAGGTGTATGTGCATATTCATGTATGTCTATGTGCATATTCGTGTATTTGTATGTGTGTATGCATGTATGTATGTGTGGAGGCCAGAGGTTCATGTCTGGTGGTTTGCAGTCACTCTCCACCTTATGTTTTGAGACAGAGTCTCTGACTGACCCAGGAGCTCATGCATCCATCCAGGCTGGCCGCCCAGTGAGCCCCAGGGATCCTCCTGGCTGCCCTCCCCCAGGCAGGCTCTAAGATATGGTGCTCTGCCACACCCAACTTTTGAGGAGGGAGCTAAGGATCCTCAAGGCTCCCCAGCCCCTCCCGTCTGTTTCTGCTCAGGCTTTCTTAACGCCTCCCTCTTCTGTGAAGCCGCCCTCCTTTGTTCTAACTATTGGAACATTTATTCTGTTTTATGGAATAAAGTGTTCCCTGATTCTAGAATTCCAAATAAGTAGGGGGGGCTGGGGAACTCGTTCCCTCGGAGGAATGCTTCCTGTGTATGCCTGGCAACTTGGGCTTGCGGCGCAGCACCAACCCAGATAACCAGGCATAGCATCGAGTTCCTGTAATCCCAGCACTAGGGAGGCAGGGACAGGAGGAGCAGCAACAGACCCTGTCTTAAAAGGGAGGGAGGGAACAATGAGATGGTCCAGCCGGTAAAAGCACGTGCCACCAAACCTGATGCCCTACCCCCAGTCCACATGGTGGAATGACAGAACCAGCTCAAGCTGACCGTTGACCTTCACAAATGCACTGTGACTTGATCCACAAACTACACAATAACTAAATAAATAAATGTTTGCTCGGAATGGTGGTGGCACCTTCCTTTAATCCCAGCACTCAGGAGGCAGAATCTCTGAGTTCAGAGGCCAGCCTGGTCTACAAAGTGAGTTCCAGGACAGCCAGGGCCGCACAGAGAAACCCTGTCTGGAAAAAACAAATAATAACAACAACAACAATAATAACATCAATAAATGTTTAAAGATAAAAATATAAGCCAAGGCTACACAAAGAAACCCTGTCTCAAAAAAAAAACAAAACAAATATATTAATGAATAGAAAATATTTAAAAGGTGGATGGTGCCTGAGGAATGACATTGAGGTTGTCCTCTGGCCTCCATACACACTCACACACACTCACACACACACTCACACACACTCACACACTCACACACACTCACACACACTCACACACTCACACACACTCTCACACTCACACACACTCACACACACTCACACACACTCACACACACACACTCACACACACTCACACACTCACACCCAGATTCTAAGATCATCCTCAGCTATACTGAGGTCAGCCTGGGATACATAAAACCCTGCGTTAAAACAAAACAAACCAACAAGAAATTGACGGCTGATGATGGGAGCAACCCGGTTGTGCAGCTCCGTGCATCTCTATGCAGCTCTGAGGCTCCTGTGTCTCGTTGACAGGACCCAGGGATCCATCCCAACCTCACTTACAGTGGCACAAAGCCTACATGGGACACTAGGGTTGTTAATGAGAAGCCAACAGAATCTCTCTCTAGATATCTCGCTCTCCCTTTCACTTCCTCAAAAGTAAGTACTCTCCCTGAGTTACAACCCCAGCCCTCAGCCCCCAGTTATTATTACTTTTCCTTTTGAGACAAGATCTCAGCAGGTTGCCGAGGCTGTGTCTCAGCATAGCCTGGGTGGGTTTTTTCGGTTTGTTTGGTTGGTTGGCTTGGGGGGGGGGGTTGTTTTGTTTTGTTGTTTTAGACAAGGCCTTGCCATGTAGCCCAGGCTGGCTTTGAACTCTCCATCCTTCTGCCTCAGTTTCCTGTGTGCCTGGATTAGAGATGTGCACCACCATAGCCAGTATGGTTTTGAGGCTGGGATGTAACCCAGGCAGATTACAAATGGACCCCAAGTCTCATGGGTTTTGCCTTACTTGTGGTAGCTACACAGCTTTACACATTTGCCACAGCCCATGAAAACGTGTGTGAAAAAAGGGGTGAATTTCAGGAGTTAGAAATTGCACCTCCATTATTTTTTTAATTAAGAAAAATGAGATCATGTTTCTTGCTGTTGCTGAAGCTTCGCATCAGGTTCCACGGAAAGATAATGTGGGTAATTTGATGCAAAATGCTCAAAGGGAAAATGTGGGTTATTTTAGATCTCTTTTTTAAAAATATCCGCGAACAAAATTCCTCAGGAGTTGTTTTAAGCAATGAAGGCATTACAAGTAAGTATAGGCTGGCACAGCACTGGAATCCCGATGCTGGAGGGGCTGAGAAAGGATTGCAAACCTGAGGCTAGCCTGGGCTACACAGTGAGACCTTAATTTAAACAAATAAACCAATTGAACTCAGCAAGAGAGCAGTCTTAGTTAGGGTTATGATTGTTGTGATGAAACAGCTTGACCAAAAGCAGCTCCACAGCATCAAAAGCAGCGAGGGCAGAAACTCAAGCAAGGTAGGAACCTGGAGGCAGGAGCTGATGCAGAGGCCATGGAGGGTGCTGCTTCCCGGTTTGCTTCCCTTGGCTTGCTCTGCATGCTTTTTATAGAACCCAGGACCCACCAGCCCAGGGATGGCCCCACCCACAATGGGCTGGGCCCTCCCTCATCAATCATTAATTTAAAAAATGCCCTACATGCTTGCCCACAGCTGGATCTATGGAAGCATTTTCTCAGCTGAGGTTCCCGCCTCTCAGGTGACTCTAGCTTGTGTCCAATTGAAATAAATCTAGCTAGCACACCTGTAATCCTCGCTAGCACACCTGTAATCCTAGTGTTGGGAGTTGGAGGTGGGAGGTTAATCCCCAAGTCCCATGAGGTTGAGAGAAACAAGTCTCACAAGTTGTACTCACACACACACACACACATGCGCACACGCTCGCACATGCACATGCGCGTACACACAGAGAGGCATGCATGCATGCACAAGCATACACACCCATACATAGATACACACATACATATATACACAGAGAGAGAGAGAGAGAGAGAGAGAGGCATGCATGCATTCACAAGCATACACACACACACACACACACACACATACACACACACCATTTTTTTTGGAGACAGGATTTCTCTGTGTAGACCAGGCTGTCCTTGAACTCACAGAGATTCACCTGCCTCTGCCTCCCAAGTGCTGATATTAAAGGCATGAGCCACCATGCTTGGCAATAAAATAATTTTAAAGGCAAACAAAAGAAACATATTCATTTGAGAGGGAAAATTACAGGAAGCTAATGCAGGAGAAATACCATGGGTTAGAGAACAGCCTCTGCTACATAGTTATGTGCATACGGTATGGAGTGAGACCTTGTCTCAAAGAAACTCTGTCTTGAAAAACAAAAACAAAAATAAAATAAAAAATAGAGATAAAAAAACCAGGTGTGATAGCTCATGTCTATAATCCCAGCACTTTGGAGTTGAGGCAGGATGATTTCTGTGAGTTCAAGGCCAACCCGGGCCACAAAGTGAGACCTTGTCTCAAGGAAGTACAGGAAGGAGGGAGGGAGAGAGGGAGGGAGAGGGATTGGAACAGTCTGAAGCAGGTGATCAATTACTGCTTGCAGCAGCTTCTGGTTGAATGTGCTGTGGACTTTTTTTGCTGAGTCCTTCCCCCAGGTTAAATGTTGCACTATACAATGGAGGGCTTAGCATCCTGTCTGACCAGAGTAATTATTCAGACAGCCTCTCTCTCTCCTCCACCATTCAAGGACAAATCACTTCCCAAGGCAACTCTTCAGAGCAGCACTTTCCCTGAACCAGCCTGGGGCTTTGTGAGGCATGGTCAGGACAGCCCCATCACCAGCATGGACATGGAGACTCAAAGGGCTGGAGCCCCTCCTCAGCAGTTTTCCCCAGAGTGACTGACAGGACACAGACAGAGCAAACAGTAGGCACTCAATAATTACTCTTTGGAGGGGGAGAACAGTACCAGAGATAGAACCCAGGACCTTGCATATGCCCTGGGTGAAAGCTGTAGCCCTGAACTCCAGTCCAGCCCCAATTACTCTCTGTTGTGCATGAAGGAACATACTGTTGCATAGGGATGCCAGACTCTACCTAGCCAAGAGGAGGCTTGGCCAGACAAGGGCTTCCCAGAAAAGGAAATATTGACCTAAGACCGGTGCCCTGTCCACTGCATCCAAATTTAGATAGGGGATAACTGTCCCCTCCCTTCCTGGTTGCTGTCTGTCCAGGGGTGGGTCCTAGGCTGCAGCCTGGCAACAGAATGTTGCGCTGTTGGCTGCCCAGGCAACCAGGGCTCACTCAGCCTTGGGTTTCTGGGAGTTCCAAGCAGGGGCAGCACTCTCCATCCAAGCCCCCCAGCTTGTGCTAAGGTGGCCAGAGACACCTATAGGCGAATGGCAGTGGCGTGGGAGGAGTATTTCCGGCTGGCCTTCCAAGAGAAAGCGCCTACGTAAGTGGTGCCAGGAGCGAGTGGATGGGGTGAGAAGGAGGGGATGTAAACAGAGAGCCCATCTCTTCTCCTGGAGTTCCTTCTACCTTTGGGGAGTCTTGGGGTGAGCTGGCCAGGCTCTGGGCTACTGGGATAGCAAGCCTGCTCCTGCCCCAGCCTTGGCCAGTACCTCACAGAGATGAAATCCTTGAACCAGGGTGGAGAGGATTTTCCTGGGAGCTGCTGTGCAGTGGAGAAGCTGTGTTTTGAGGACATCAGCTCTGTAGCGCATTGTTTGGGGACGGTGGAACTCCCTGGCCCCAATAGCCTCAGTATTTGATGCAGGGCTGGGCAGGCTTCGTTGAGAGGATGTCAGATACTCTCTGACTCCCTCCCATCCTCCCGGAGAGCCAGGCTCTCACACTCAGGCTCTCCTGGACCACTGCCCACAGAGGAATGCCTCTGCTCGCTGTGGTCAGAGCAGGGACCCGTCTCTACAACCCTACCTGCGCAGCCTATAGTCATCCCGCAAAGTGACATCCTTCCAGCTACAGAGGTCACCTTTATTCCTGTGTCACTCTGCCCTGCTCCATCAGTCCTGCCGTCAAGCTGTTTCCAGAATGGGTCCATCCTCACCTCCCATCCTGTCCACCTTGATCAGAATGGCATTCTTTCTGGAGCCCCTAAGCCCCACCACTGAGGTCCCCAGCTCCTCACAGCAGTCACAAAGAGTTTCCTACCCCACTAAAAACTTGCCCTTGTCTCCCATCCACTAATGGTCATTGCCGAAGTCTTTCCTCATGGCCTGCCAGTCAGGCCTTGCATACCTCCGATTTTAGTTTCCACCTATCATCTCCTCTCTTCATTCACATTTATGGCTCCTTCAACATACCCAGCTCTTTTTCTGGGAGCCTGGGTCTTTCTCGGCTGTTCCCTTGGCCTGGAGTCTGTTCCCTGCAGTTGTCAGTGCAACTTACTTCCTGTGGCTCTGTCCCAATGTCTTTTGCTCAGAGAGACTTCCTGACTCCATATTGAAAACAGCATCTGGCCTTCTGAACTTTACACCTCAGGGCCCACTGTGCCTGAGCAGTGCTTGCTATTATTACCCATGTTAGCAGTCTGTGGTCATCGGGGGGGGGGAGCACCGCTTCCAGCAACACGGGTTTCTGTCTGTCCTCTTGATGGCTGCAACTGCTGTGACTAGGTACACTGCTTGGTATAGGACAAACTTGTGAACAATTTTTTTTTCTGAGACAGGGTTTCTCTGTAACTTTTGAGCCTGTCCTGGAACTCGCTCTGTAGACCAGGCTGGCCTCCAACTCACAGAGATCTGCCTGTCTCTGCCTCCCAAGTGCTGGGATTAAAGGCGTACGCAGCCACCACCAGACTAACTTGTGAACAATTTAAAGACCCAGTAGCAGTAGCCAGTAGATGTGCCAACTTCATATCTGTCATCCTACTACTCAAGAGGTAGAGGCTTGGGATCAAGAGTTCAAGGCCATCCTCAGTTACAAAGTTAGTTCAAGGCTAACCTGGCCTACATGAGATGTTTTAAAACGAAACCAAAGTAACTCAGTAGGTGATGGATGGGGCTATTCCAGGCACCCCCAGGGAGTTAGGGGCCCCAGCTCTCCTTCTTGTAACCTTCCCTTTGGGTCAGTCCAGGAAGCCACCAGAGCAGAATGTGGACCACTTTCCACCCCTGCTGCGTCTCCTGGAGAAGAAGCAAGAGCTAGCAGCTGCAGACCAGGATCTGCAGGCCCAGAAGGAGGTGAGCCTCGGTTGTTGAAATTTGGGGGTTCACCAGACACACACTGGTGATACCCAATGGGGGTTACATAGCCTGGGGTGAGTCTACCCTGAGCCCTGATGTCCTTACCTGTCAAAGGAAGATCTAGCGAGAACACTTGGTACAAATGCATGTGTGTACACTGAACACCCACTGTATGCTGTGCCCTCCCGAGTTTCACAGTCTGGAGAGGAAAATAAGTGTCCAGGTTGGGGCTACTGTGTGGGAAGGCACTGGGCAAGGGCTGTTGGATCCTGGGGGGGGATCTTCTGCTCCCCCACAAAAACCAGAATTCAAGGACAAAGCTCAGAGGGTCATGGAAGTGGAGAGATGGCTCAGCAGTTAATGCTGGCTGCTCTTACAGAGGATCCAAGTTCAGGTCCCTGCGTCCACATCAGGAGGTTCATAACAGCTTGCAACTCCAGGGACCCAACGCCATCTTCTGGCCTCTGCAGGCACTGCACTCACATGCACACACTCCTCCCCTAAATGCACACATATTAAAAATATATTTAAAAAAACAAAAAACTTCAGATCGTCAGGTGGCTGAAACATGGAGTGTCTAGAGAAGAGGTATGAAGAGGTTGGGACTTAGCATTCAGGGACCACAGGAGATAACGTGTAAGCCAGGGAGCAGCTGCAGCTGGGAGAATTAGATGACCGGACACGCACACAGCTCTAACTGCACCTCTCTCCAAGGAGTTCCGCAGCACGATGGCCACCCTGAGCCAGCGCTGGGCACAGCTGGAGCAGAAAGAGCAGGCGCTGAAGGAGTCCTTCATCCGCTTTGACAAATTCCTGCAGGTCAGTGGATGTTGAGGTCTGGAGGCAGGGGTGACAGGGGCTCCTTCTTGCCACTCTAGAGTGGCTTCCACCTAGGAAAGTCGCCTGAAGTGGGGGGATCAGATTGCCAGAGGGTGGAGGAGGAGTGAGGACCCCGAATCACAGCTCGTGGATGAACTTAACACAGTCTCCCGAAGTCTACTACGCACGTGGCTTAGAGTGCCATTTCACCCCTCAGGGGAGGCCGGAGAGCTCCCCGAGTACTCAGGCTCCCTAATCTTCATCCTCCTCCCAGGACGCCGAGGTTCGGCGGCGGGACCGCGCGCTGTGGAGAGCAGCGGAAGGGCACGGAGTGCGACACCAGGAGGCAGAGGCACTGCGGCTACGCGCACAGCTGGAGGAGCTGCGGCGGGAGCGCGCGCGGCTGCAGCACAGGCTGCAGCGCCTGGAGCCCTGCGCGCGCCTACTGGAGCGCGTGCTGGAGCAGCTGCCTGAGGTGAGCAGCGCTGGGAGGCTGGGGACCGTTTTGTTCAGGCGCACTAGTCAGTGCTGACTGTATATAAGAAGCAGCACTTACTAAGTGCTCATTGTATACCAAGGACACACTTTGTTCTCCAGCCATCCCCTATGTCTGATCAAGTGAGTACTGTTAATGTCAACCCCATCTCACAGGTCAAAAAACAGTTGTAGAAAGTTCGTTCGCACTCAAGGTTATGTAGCTAAGCAAGTGTGTGAGTGTGTGTGAGAGAAACAAATACACAAACAGAAAAAAGATAAGTGAGTACAGAAAATAATGTAAATTTTATTATTTGTGGAAGATTGGGTTTGGGGAGAAAATGTGTGTGTTTGGTTGGTTTGTTGAGACCTAAGATATAGCCCAGGCTAGTCTTGAACTCTACATAGGAAAGAATTCTGCCCCAATACTCCCACCCCCAACACACACAGCCAGACAGGGCTTCTCTGTGTAGCCCTGGCTGTCCTGGAACTCACTTTGTAGACCAGGCTGGCCTTGAACTCAGAGATCTGCCTGCCTCCACTTCCCAGTGCTGGGATTAAAGGCGTGCGCCACCACAGCTCCAACCTTCACCTCTTACTCCTCTACTCCTCACCCCTGTGCCGCCACGATGCCTGGCTCTGTTTTGTTTTGTTTTTGTTTGAGACAGGGTCCCATTCTGTAGTCCAAGCTAACCAGGTACTCAATATGTAGTCGAGCTAACCTTGAACTTGAGGTAATCCTCCAGCCTCAGTTTCTCAAGTGCTGGCATTCCAGGCATCAGCCACAAAGTTCATCGAATGAACAAGAAGCAGTGTCAACAAGCTGAGGTTCCTAGCCAAGCTTAGTTAGGTTTGATCACGGAAGTGAGAGGGGCATGAACAGGTCTCACTTAAATTCCCATTCAGTGGCTCCTGACATCCTCGCTTCAGGACCTGAGGTGTCCCATGGCACACCTGAACTGAGGTGTCTTGGCTAGTCAAGAGGGGAGGGCAATGAGTCTCCTTCTCCAGTTTCAGGAGATTCCAGAACTGGTGGCGCGCTTCGACGGCCTGGTAGACACACAGGAGGCATTGAAGGTGGCAGAGCGCAAGAAACAGGTGGAGCTGGATGAGACCCGTGCTCAGTTGCATCGTCTTCGGGAAACCAAGCAGGATGAGCTGCTGCGTCTGGGCCAGCAGCGCGCACAGCTGCACGAGCAGTTGGAGGCAGCGCATGAGCGTACACTGCAGTGGGTGCGCGTCCCCGGGGCTGCAGAGAACCCACCCGATGCACTAACCACAAGGCTGGGGTACCACATCGCCAAGGATACCAGAAACAGTCCTTGATCCCGCCCGGCAGAACACCTATCAGGTGGTGCAGCCTCCCAGACTCCAGGCCTAGGTCCCGACTCAATGGTGATTTGCACATATGTTCTGCAGGAATCCAAGTGGACTCAAATTCAGAACACTGCGGCGGCCAAGACGCTGCTCCTAGGACGCACTCGGATGTCTGTGCTCAACCTGTATCAGCTTGTGCGCCTGCGCCAGAGTCAGCCTCTAGCCCTGGATGTGGAGGACACAGAGGGGCAACTAGAAGAGGTGAGGCTCTCTGTGTCACTCCCTACCCAACACCCCATCTTGGGAAACCCCACTGTTGGGACACCCTAGGGTTAAGTGTCTTTTATAGGTGGTTCCTTCTAGTGACCTACTGTGGGGCCAGGAAGCTACATCCAGATGCCAGGGTTGTAATCACCATGACTACAAGTAGATCTGTGTGCCCTTTGCAGGGTTGGTTAAAGTCACTGAGACCACTGCTCACCCATGAGTTGCCCTGGCTCTTGTGATACACATGCCGAATCCAGGAGGGGCCCAGTGTCACATGAACCAGGCTGTTTTTGGCAGGGTCTCATATAGCCCAGGCTTACCCCAGATCACTAGGTACCTTGAACTCCTCACCCCTCTGGCCTCTACCTCCTGAGTGCTGGGATTACAGGTGTGCTATGCATCTGGTCTGGCTGAGTTAGCCCCTCCTTGGCTTACCTCTGCTACTATGAGGAAGGCTCAGGGGAGGATGCTGGCCCTCTCTTACCCACACTCCAGGCCAGGAATCAGGCTGCCCAGAGCAGTGACGAACTGTCACCCAGCCTTCTTTGGGTCCTGTGTTCTCTATATTTACCCAGGTAATGGACATGAAGAGGGTCCCACAGTCCACTGTGAGCTTGCCCTCAGTCCATGGCAGTGGGCCTATGAGTGTCCATTAAATTCACATAAGTGAGCAATTAGCACAGAATAAAGGACACCATGAAGATGAGGCTACAAACCAACAAACAAGCCTGATCCAAGGGAAATGTCACCTGATGCGGGTGGGACACTGAGTTAGCAAGGAGCCAGTTGGAAATCAGCAAAGTGGTTGCAAACTATTCAGTGGCTGGGCATGGTGGCACATGCCTTTAATCCCAGCACTCAGAAGCAGGCGGATCCCTGTGAGTTCTAGGCCAGCCTGGTCTACAGAATGAGTTCCAGGACAGGCAGGGCTACACAGAGAAACCCTGTCTCAAAAAACAAAAACAAGACAAACATTTCAGTGGCACACACCTGTATTCTCAACACTCAGGAGACTGAGGCAGTAGGATTGCCATGAGTTAGAGAACAAGTTTGAGCTATACTTGGCAACAAACCTTTAGGAAGCCACACTGGACACTCTCAGTACCTCTGCAGTAGAGTTTCCAGGCCCACACTGCCCTCGGCCCCCTGTATGAGGGTGGGTACAGAAGGTGAGCTGGCTATGTCACCCCCGTCCCCAGGTGAAGCAGTTCATCCTGGACTTCTCAGCCACACTGAGCAGCCTTGCCGAGGCCGAGCCCACAGCTACTGCCTCCTAGTCAGGCCAGGAGAGCAGCGAAGAGGACACGAGGGGCAAAGTCCTACATTCCTTGGTATGGAGGTTCAACACAACGGCTCTCTGAATATGCTTCCTCCTGGACAAGATAAGATGGAGCTGCGCCAGCCCTTGCCGTTATGGGGCTTCCTCAGGACATTCAACTAGTTAGGCTGTCAGTGGGGGCTGACAGCAGTACTGGGCCCTTCACAAGCTTAGACAGGGCTAAGTAAAGTGTGTCTGTCTGAACAAAAGGTAGCTGTTGTTAGCATCAGCTCTTTGCGGCCCAAGAGGGTAGTCCCAGTGTGTGCCTGGCCGATGGGGTCTATCTGCTGGGGATACGTGACCTTCCCGGAACCCCAAGCAAGAGGTGGGGAGAGCCACCAGTGGGATGGAGGCCATGAGGGTAATGCCACCCTCGGAGCCTGCTTCCACCCTGCAGCAGTCCTCAGCTGCCTTGAGCGACCAGATCCAGACTCTCACTTTTCTTATCTCGGTAGACAGTGGAGGCCACATCACCTCAGTGGCCGGGTGGGACACAGGCATGGCCACCTGCTCTAAGCCACTACAAAAGCTGAGACCTGCAACTCTCCCTTCCAACACCCCAAGAAAACCACACTCCTGCCTACTAGAGGTGTTCTACAAATGTTTACTACACTAAAACCTAATGTCCGGTCAGAGACAGCCAGGGCCCACATACATCCACATGGCCATGACTTCTGAAGCCTGAATTCATGGATTCAGTGACAGCTAAGCTGCAGGCTCGGGGCTTGCTCTGCCTAGCTTTGCTGGTAAACTCCTAGGCAAACTTCAAGACCCCACCCAATGTCCCATCAAAAGCAGCCTCTCCTTCTTTTTGTTCCGCATAGACACTGGCTCCTGTGGGAGACTCTGCCAACAGCACAGGGGACCACGTCAGAGATGTCCACACCAGGGCTATCTATCAGAAAGCCCTGGGGCTGAGGCTGGCTCCTTACATCCTCTTCCTCATCTTGCCCTTCCTGGAGGGGGCACCCCGGCCAAAGGCGCCCTGCCGCAGCTCTTGAGCTCTACGTCGGTTGCGAGCTGAAAGCTGCTTTAGGCCTCCGCGCTGCAGGAAGCGCTGCTTCTGGGCTTGACGCCGCTGCTTCAGGATCTGCTCCTTGGTCTTGAGTTCTGAGCGCATTCGGCCTGCGGGGGCACTGGGCGCTCGGGGCAGGGAGGCACCTGTCAGCACAGAGATTTGGGGAGCTCAGTCTCTGACACACAGAGCTTGAGCCAGGCTCCACCCCACTCTGGCCAGATCAAAGAGGCCAAACCCGGGGTCGCCTGGCACCCTGGCCAGCCCACATTTTCAGAGACAGTATTAACTCCCTAGATATCACCAGCTCTGCAGAGGGCTTCCTGAGCAGTGGCTTCCAAAGCCCAGTGTTGTCACCACAGAGATCCCATCCCAACCCCAGTAGAGACTGGTGCTCTGGGTGGGAAGCCGTCAGGCACCAGTTTCCACCTCTAGGTGTGCACATGGCTCCACATGGGGAACCATCATCCACCCTGCTACTGGCTACCCCAGGAACCATCTTTTGAGCGAGAGAGAGAGACATGACCCTGGTCTGCTGGGTGGGGCTATGCCATAGAAGCGGGGGCCAGGCCACCACAGGACAGGAATGGGGCTTTGCTCGTAGGCAGAGTCCGTAGGTCCTAGCCTTGCCCATGCTCACCCCTGCACCTCATCGCACCTGGCTTTTCCCCTACTCGGACCATACCACCTGCCCTGCCCACCTTGACTCCGCCCTCGCTTTCCACCTCTGCGGGGCCCGGGACCTCGCTGGTTGGATGATCCTTCTTCCTCCGAGTCCCGGTCATCGATTTTCTGCTTCTGCTTCCACTTCTGGTAGCTGAGTGCCTCATTAAGGAAGTGAGCTGTACCATCTAAGCTGGGTGCAGGCCCCTTACAGAGGGCCCCTAGGGAAGCCGCCCAGCCCCGCCCCCAGACACAGCCACTCCTATAGGAGCAGCAGCTGAAAGCCACCCAGCCCCGCCCCCAGACACAGCCGCTCCTATAGGAGCAGCAGCTGAAAGCCGCCCAGCCCCGCCCCCAGACAAGACCCTCCTATAAGCACAGCAGCTTGAAGCTACCTGGCGCCGCCCTCCAACCCTCTGCAGCCCTGTCTGTCCCTTAGGATACAGGTCACGCTTGTAGGAGCTGCTGATGTACCGGCCACTCTCTGTCTTGATCTTCTTCTTGTCCTCCTGGCCTGACTGCCCCACAAACCGCTTCTTCTTCCGGTCCCTGGGAGAGAGGGAGATGGAGTCTAGTGCGGGGCACCTGTTCCCTCACACGCGTGTAGTCAGCAGAGGGTTAGAGGAAGACAGCCAGTCTCGCTTGCCTGCACCGGACACCTGACCACCTCTCCACCTTTCCAGGTCTCAAAAGGAGAGTGGGGTTTGGGGACTCGGGGTTTGATCCCTACGCCACTTCCCAGACTCCTGTGTTTGGGAAGCTGCATCAGAGCCCCTCATGGACACAGTGGATCAGGGAGACGGCAGACAAGTCACCACCCTGCTCTGAGCAGCCAGATGGGGACACAGAAGGCCGCACCCAGGGACACAGGGACGGCCTGGCACACTCCCTGATCACTCACCACCTGAGCTGCTGCCGACCTCGGCTCATGCTCTGCGACTCATCCCCCATCAGGTCAAGGACCGCACCAGCCACCTGCTGCTCAAAGGCCCCCTGGGCTCCACCAACGCTCAGCCTGCAGATTCAAGGGGGAGATTTTTTCTTTAATTTTTTACTTTTTTAAAAAAAGATTTATTTATTATGTATACAGCATTCTCCTTGCATGTATGCCTGCAGGTCAGACAGGGTACCAGATCTCATTATAGAAGGTTGTGAGCCACCATGTGGTTGCTGGGAATTGAACTCAGGTCCTCTGGAAGAGCAGCATCAGTGTTCTTAACCTCTGAGCCATCTCTCCAGCCCCTCAAGGGGGAGATTTAAGGGAGCCGGACCCTCTTTATGCACTGCAAGCTGGGCCACAAGCTCACACTCACCCCCGCTCACTGTCGAAATCCTTGGGCCGGTAGGGGACATAAAACTCCTGGTCTCGCTGACGAGCCTCCTCCCTCCGCCTCTTGGATCCTCGGTCGGGTCCTGGCTTTGGTCGCTTCTGGCCCACAACCTCTGTGAAGACACCCTGACAGACAGAAGCCCAGTGTCATCCTTGTGGCCTCAGGGAGCCCCACTAGAACTAAGGACCAGAGCTTCCCCTTTTAGCTGCCAGAAGACCGTATGTAGTCCTCTGCACACACAACAGCCCCTGCTGTGGAGAGAAGAGCAGGCAGGAGGGGCAGGATGGACACCAGGCAATAATGACACTGCACTCCAGGATCAGTCCTGACCCCACTCAGCCCTGGATGCTTCCGTACAATAGGACGCACACGGGGTTTGTGGCTGGGCCTTCATAAGGCATCTGCCTCGGTGAGACAGGAGAGATGGAGCGGACGTGCAGGAGGGGCCACTCCTTGTGGGCGGGGTACTCCAGCATCCCCCAGACCCACTTGCTGGGGCTTCTCTCCCACCAGGACCTCAGCCATACTACTTAGCCACAGCCCAGGCCACAACATCTGGGGAAGGAACTGTATAAGAGGGTGCTGGATCCCCTGGAACTGGAGTTACAGGCAGTTGTGAGGCACCGAATGTGGGTGCTGGGAACTGAGCTCCAATCCCCTGCAAGAGCAGTAAGGGCTGTTTTTGTTCTTTTTCAGACAGGGTCTCAGCATGTAGACTTGCTATTTACAGGCTGGCCCTGAACTCGGACATCCGACAGCCTCTGCCTCCAAGTGCTGGGATTAAAGGCATGGGGTGTGTCGGTGCATGAAGCACGGGCTCTTAAATGCTTGACTGCTGAGCCAGTGCCACAGCTCCTTCCTTTGGTTATCACTCTGTAGCCTGGGCTAGCCTGAGACAGTATCACTCTGTAGCCTGAGCTGGCTTTGAACTTGTGACTGTCCTGCCTTAATCTCCACACCCTTCTCCTGCAGACTGTAAGCTGAGACTGTGCACCACTTCCACAGAGATGGGGACATGGGCTGCAGGCTGCACCACTGCCTGCCCCAAAGGCTGCTGGGACCTGGCTGTCTCTTCCCTCGCTCCAGCTGCCCCTGCAGCCCACACCTCCACACTCTCAGCCATGTCCTCCTCTTCCTCTTCCTTCTGAGGCGGCTCCTTCTGGGGGACTGGGTCAGCTGGGCCCTCCTGCCGACCCTGCTGGAAGCTATTGATAGCTTTTCGGTCCCTCTCCCGCTTGGCACGCATCATCTGGCTGCTTGGGTCCCGGCTGGAGGCGTTGATCTCAAAGATGGTCTGTAAAAGGGACTCCATGTTCACTGTCTGCCACCCACCCATCCCCCAGCTCCCTGAAGCCAGCTGAGACCGGTATGGCCACTCAAGTCTTCACCATGGGAATCAGAGGGAGGCCCAGAGGAAGTGGGTGTTGTGCCCAAGGCCACACTGCTGGGAAAAGCCAGAGCCCAGACCGCACAGAGTGCACGTGGCTTTGAAACCATTGATGCCTGTGTCACTCCCTAGCCATTTTTGCTACTGGTCACCTGGGTGGGCTCTCCCTGCCTCTGTACATGAACCCCGGAGCAAATGCCCACCCACGGATACCCAGGAGAAGTGAACGGGTAGGGAGGGTCAAGGCTGGGGACGGATGGCTCTTCAGGCCTCTGAAAGGCAGACAACACATCACTCCCTTACGGGATTGCATCTGTCTGGACCTGCTGTGGGTCACAGGAATGCTCCAGAACAAGGGGGGGCGGGTCTATGAGTGGCCAACAGAGCCAGTGTGACATGTTAGGGAGCTACAAGCTCAGGAGTCCCCACTGTGGCCCATACTCCAGCCGCTCTCTGAGGCCACTCACTGCGCGGGCGCGGTACTTCTTGATGCTGTCCACCAGCCTCAGGCGCTGTAGCTCTCCCTCCTCAAATCGGGAGCCTGGAGGGCGAAGGAGTGCGTGAGGCCAGGGTGGGTTGTGAAGGGCCGGCCCGCCCTCACCCACTGCACCCTGCAGAATCTCACTGAAGAGTGGGTGCAAGCCCATCCCTGCCAGGTCCAGCTCCTTGGCTCTCTTGATGGACTCAGGTGAGGGCGCTGGACGAGAGCGCACATACTGCTGCTGAGCGTTGTCAGCCACACGCTGCAGGCCCCGAAGGTCCAGTGCCGCCTCCAGGGCAGTCTGCAGGCCGCTGTCCTCGTCATCCACCACCGTCTGTGGCACCCGACCCAGCACGCCGTCCCTGCCAACTGCACCTGGAGTCACAGGGCACACTGTGTTCACTCAGACCCTGGGACACAGACAGACCCCAGCTCTGGCAACGACAGCCCAAGAGCAGCGCCCAAGGCCGCCCCCATAGACGACTGTGCCTGTCTCCAAGGACACGGTGGCAGGAGCTCCTATGGTCAGACCATCGCACCCCTGCCTGCTGGTGAACTCCATAGGGACCTCAGTCCTGCCCAGCCTCCCCTCACCTGAGGGCTCCTCATGAGGCTGGGCGAGGGTGATGGAGCGGCCCAGGAACAGGTGCAGATCAAGCAGGTAGGGAACCTCATCTGGGGCCACCAAGGAGTAGGCTGTGCCACTTCGGCCTGCTCGGGCCACACGACCTGGGGGGTGGGAGGAGTTGAGTTTCAGTGGGGGAGCCTAACTCCCTGAGGGCTAGAGCTAGGCCAGGGCCTTCTCTGAACTGCTGTCCCCACCTACAGGGTGGGGGCCAGGGGTAGGCACAGGACGGTACAGAGCCCAAGTGAGTGAGAGCAGGGGCAAGCGCCACTTGAGATCAGTGCTTCAAGTCCCAGGCACTGGAAAGCAACCCAAGACGGGCCTAGCATTGTGTTGAGTAAATTGTAGGTGTCAGTTACATTTCAGCTTGGTTTGTTGTTTGTGACAGGGTCTATGTAGCCCAGGCTGCCCTTGAACGCCTGATTCTGCATCCTGAGTGCTGTGACCACAGACATTCACCATGCCCAGCTTTCTTTAATATGTTAGGAAACACCACATCCCTTCATTTACAGGTTTTGTTGAGAGTGGTCTGTCGTGTGGCGCCTGAGGAATTCCCCTTGGGACTCTGGAAACTCCCAAGATGGGGAGCCAGCTCTCCAGGAATCGATGGAGACTTGGAGACAGCAGGCAGCTACCAGCAAGGATGTATCTGGGACTCATATGGGAGACACAGCCTAGGTCTCCTGTGAGCCTGACAGTGACAGGCAGACCCCCAGCAAGTGTCCTCATACCACTGCTGACCTCGGCTTGAAGACTGTGCATTTAGATCCAGCTACACTGTTACACACAGAACACAGCCAAGAAACCCTGTGCCCAGCTGCTTCCTTCCCATGCATGTCTTAATCTACCTGCATTTATGAGCACAGTAACCAACTCAGCGTGGTCTGTGCAGAGCGGTGCCCTAGGTTCCGTCCCCAACCCCGAAGGAAAGGAACGTCTGGAAGCTGAGGACTACCTGTCAGGATCCATCTAGTAAGCATTGCTTATGGCCTCAGTTTCCCCAAATTCTCAGCTGCTCTCATGGCACGGTGCCCTCCCTTTGCCCACCAGGCTCCTCACCCACACGGTGCAGGAAGAGCTTGCCCTTGGCGGGGAAGCTATAGTTGATGACGTTGTCCAGCAGTGGGATGTCCAAGCCCCGGGCGGCCAGGTCGGTCACGATGAGGGTGGAACATTTGTTGTGTGTGAACTTCGCCAAGTTGATCTTACGGGCTGTCTGGTCCAGAGCACTATAGATGTGGGCGCAGCTCACGCCCTGGGTTGTCAGCAACTGTTCAGAGCAAAGGCGGGGAGCTGAGAGGAACTTTACAGGAGCCAGGACAGGAGGCTAAGCTGAAGCTGGGACACCACGCATGGTGGGTTTGAACCCCGACCCTGCTGGATGGCCTGACTCAGCACAAACGGAACTTCTGCCACCTCCCAGCTCTGCAAGGCTGTTGGGACATCACAGGGTACAATAGGTACAGAAGGATGCCTCAAGGATCCTGTGTGACAATGGGCAAGTTATTCAGTCTTTCTGTGCCTCCAAGAATGAAGTGGGTTAATGCCCCATCGAGGACCGAGCGTGAAACACAGGAAGCCCACGAGCGCATAACTGAGCTCTCAATGTTACTATTTTGGTCTCAGACATTCGGGGGAAGGAAGGCGCCGTTTACATGTCTGGTGAGGCCCAGCCACCCGTGTCCTCGGCAGTGCCCAGGTGTGGCTGCTGGAGTGTGAGACAGCAGCTAGTCCGTCCCTCCCCCAAACTTCCACGATGCTGGGACTCCCCACACTTGCATCTAGACGAGGGTCACAGGTGTGAATTCACAGAAAAAGGTCAAGGACACGCCACACCACTAATGTGTGAGATCATGCCTCGATGCCAGGCACATCACACACTGGGAATCCACCCCAAACAAACCAAGTCCACTGGGGGTTGCTGCAGACGGTGTGGACAGAAAGGCAGACAGACCAAGACCAGCTGGGGTGTGCAGACAGTAGACGCACCCACACACAACTGGACTGACAGTGTGTGTGTGTGTGTGTGTGTGTGTGTGTGTGTGTGTGTGTGTGTGTGTGTGTGTGAGAGAGAGAGAGAGAGAGAGAGAGAGAGAGAGAGAGAGAGACAGAGAGACAGAGAGACAGAGAGACAGAGAGAGAGAAATGGCCTTTGATAAAAGCCCCACCCAGGCTCATAGCTGCTCTGCTGCCGCCCTCTGGTGGCCTCCCATGGAAGTGCAGCTCTGGGGGATGAAACTAGTTTGAGACCCCAACATGTCTTTCCATTCCACAGAGCCCCTGCTCACCTCCATGAGGTACTCTGCGTGGTGCTTTGTGGCTACAAACACCACTGTCTGGTCCTGGGGCCGAACGACATTACGCAGCAGGTAGAGAAGCACAGCAGCCTTGGTGTCCTCACGTACAAGGAGGAAGGAGGTCTGCAGGGAGAGGGATGGATGTGGGCTCCAGGCTATGGGCCAGCAGGACCCACGTGGCCCTGCCCCCAGGGAAGACTCATAACACAGCCTCACCTTGAGCTGTTCATTGAGTTTGGCATCCACATCCAGACGGATGAGCACAGGCTCTGTGAGACCTGTTGGGGTGTGGAGATCGCAGGGGTCACTGAGGGGCGGATCCCAGCCCTACCCTGAGTCCAGCACCACACCCCACTGGCTCACCTGCCCGTGCAAACTCCACCAGCAGTTTGGGCAGTGTGGCCGAGAACAGCACTGTCTGGTGGCCCCCAGGAAGGCGGCCTATGATCTCCTGTAGCTGTTCAGCGAATCCCATTTCAAAGAGCCTGCAGTGAGTGATGGGCAGGGAGGGTCAGGAGAGGGCTTCCACCCAAAGAGCTTAGAACCCTGGCTGCCCTCACTCCAGAATCCCTGCCATGCACAACTGGGTTTTTGTTTTTTTTTCGAGACAGGGTTTCTCTGTGGCTTTGGAGGCTGTCCTGGAACTCACTCTGTAGACCAGGCTGGCCTCGAACTCACAGAGATCCACCTGCCTCTGCCTCCCGAGTGCTGGGATTAAGTCATGCACCACCAATGCCCGGCTTGCCATGTGCAACTGTTAATCTTGTGTGTGTGTTTGCAGTGCTGGGAATGAACTCAGCCTCACACATGCTACGCAAGCCCTCATCTCTGCATATAGCCCAACACTGGTTAAACATTCTTTTCAGTACTAAGATGTAAACTTAAAATCCCTAGTGCAGGTGCCCTAGGGATGGGACTACTCAAACACACCAGGTCTCCCCGGACAGGGCCATTCTCCTGTGCCCCCCCCTTCCAGGCCTTGACCGTTGCTCAGGGGCATATCTGTGGCCTCACCTGTCCGCTTCATCAAAAACGACATACTCCACACTCTGTAGCTTCAAATTCATCTCCACAGCCACGTGCATCAACCGCCCGGGGGTGGCAATGATTCTAGAAGGGATGGACGAGCCAGGTGAGCCCAGGCTCAGGGCCCCACCATTGCCCTCGGTCTTCCCCACACCACTCTGGGAAAGGACCCCAGAGGGTCACCTCCCGTCAACACACTCACATGTCAGGGTTCTCGTGCAGGGCAGCAAACTGGTCTTCCATTCTAGGGGGAAAGCAGGATCAGCCTGACTGGACAGAGCTTTTGAGTCTGTCCCTCCCCTATCACAGTCAAGCGACCCCACACCCCAGGCATGAAAGTGAGACATGGCTACTGTGAGGTCAAGGCACTGCCCTAGCAGAGACAGACTGAAACACAACGGAGATCCACAGATACTGGCTTCCTCTGTGGCTCCCCACACTTTGCTGCCAACCCACAGCACCACCTAGTGGTTGAGTCTGGAACTACCGGCTTCACCTAGAATCCTGACGCCTGGATGGCTAAGTGCCTGTTCCTGCCTTCCCCTGAGGCACCCCTGGAGCAGCTGGTGGAATGGGGATCCTGGCTCCACCTAGCTTGGGGAAGGTAGGCTTTGTGACAAACACTGACTACATCTCTTGGTAGAAGCTGGAGCAGGACAGACCAACCACAGCCTGTGCACGGCGCCCGGAGAATGAATGACAGACACATCCTGTACAACTAAGGTCTCACTAAACTCCCTGGTCCAAAACTTCGAGCTCTGTCCCTCTGTCCCTGTCCCAGCTTCCACCACATGTCCCCTGACCAGTGTGTCTGAACATGTGGAGAAACTACTGTTAGTTACTAGCAACTCAGGCCCACGAGGAAACTCTTGAGGTACGGGGGTGTGCCTGCATAGGGAAGCTAGGACATGGGGTGAGGGGTCCTTACTTGTCACCACCCAGGATCAAGGCTGTCTTGAGGCCGGTGAACTTGCCCAGCTGTGGAGAGAGGGAGAAGGGGTCAAAGGTGAGGGCCTGCCACCTCAGCCTCCTCACGGCCTCCCCACCAGGCTCCGCTACCCGCACCTCTTTAGTGAACTTCATGGTCTGCAGGGCGAGCTCCCGGGTGGGCGACAGGATGAGGGCCCGGGCCCCTGTCTGCGCACTTCGCGCCTTCAGCCGCTCAAACATTGGGAGGAGGAAGCACGCTGTTTTGCCGCTGCCTGTCCGGGCCATGGCTACCACGTCCTTGCCGTCCAAGATCACAGGAATGGTCTGACAGACACATGTTGGAGGCAGGGTCAGCTCCCGTCCAGCATGGCAAGAGGCAGAGAGCCACATCCAAACCATAGCTCTGCTGAGCCCAACCCTCTCCCCATGAAACGGCTAAGCTGGGTGACGCTTCAGCCACAGACAGCTAAGCTGGGTGGAGCTTCAGCCACAGTGAGGAGGGCCAGCAAGACGACAGCTGGGGCCAGGGACATCTGTCTTGCGGCCACCACTCACTGCTGTCCCAACCCATTGCTCTCCAGCTCCTTACCTTCCTCTGGATGGGTGTTGGCACCTTATAGCCCTTTTTCATAATGCCTTTGAACACGGGATAGCTCAAGCCTGGGAGAGACATGAGAGTGGTCAGGAGCCTGGGGGCAACAGCAGCCGCCAGACACAGGACAAAGGACTATGCTCACCACACAGAAAGAAAAACAGAAAGCAACAAATTGAAGGTTGATGGAGTGTAACTCGACCTCTGCTGGAATTCTCTCGCTTCTGTTTTTCTGTCTGAGCAATGTACTCCACAAGGCCTTGAACTTGAGGTCTTTGCCTCTGCCTCTGAGCACTGGGATCACAGGCATGTGGCACTCTGAAGGTGTGGTGGGGATGTTGGGAAATGGGGCCAGTATGGATGGGAGAGAGTGGCCCTTGGGGACTTAACAAGACCTGGACTGAGGACCTGGGAGCCAGCAGGAGGATGCCTAGAGACTAGCAAACAGCTTCAACGCCATCTTTGCCACACCTACATGTCTCTGCTTGACCCCTAATTATCAGTGAGAGCCAGCACTCTTGCTTTAAATCTAAACAGCCTCTAGATGACATGCTTTTCATTTTTAGTTTTTTAGGGTTTTTTTGTTTTTGTTTTTTTCTGAGACAGGGTTTCTCTGTATTGTTTTGAAGGCTGTCCTGGAACTCACTCTGTAGACCAGGCTGGCCTCGAACTCACAGAGATCCACCTGCCTCTGCCTCCCGAGTGCTGGGATTAAAGGTGTGCGTCACCAACGCCCGGTCATGTTTTTAAAGATGTATTTACTTATTATGTATAGTGCTGTGTATATATATACCTCTCCATCAGAAGAGGGCGCCAGATCTCATTACAGATGGTTGTGAGCCACTATATGATTGCTGGAAATTGAACTCAGGTCCTCTGGAAGACCAGTCAGTGCTGGTAACCACTGAGCCATCTCTCCAGTCCTAGATTGCTTTTATGACTCAACTATTCAGTTTCTTTAACTCGTTCTCTTAGGGTTTCTGTCCTTTACTTACGGATGTGTAAGAACTCTTTGCATATTGTAGATGATAACCTTCTTTCTGACTGTCCCATAGGCTGCAGACACTTTTTGTTTTGTTGTGAGACAGGGTCTTATTACATAGCCATGGAATAGACCACCATGCCCAGCTCCTTTTTAATCGCTACTGAAAGCCCGGGCAGCTAATGCTCCATCAAGGGTAGAGCACTTAAGCTGTAATTCCCACAGTGTCCTGACACCACTCCACCATCCCGTGCCCGTCTCTCTCCAAGGCTATCCTCCTGTCTGCCACCTCCTGTGCCTGTAGGGGTGGCCCCCTTTCCAGGCCTGCTATGGAAGACTGTTTCTACTACCTCAGCCTACTTAACACCGACCACATAGGTGGATGTCAGTACCTAAGCACAGGGGGCACAACGACCCTCCCAATACCCCCTTGCCAGGCTACTCCCCAAGGCCCCAGGTACCCAGTCTCTTTACCCACCCATGGACTGGAAGCCTCCGGACTTCTTCTTTTTCTTGTTCTGGGCTCGCACCAACTCCCGCGTGTCGGGCTCCACATCTGATACGCACTCTGAGGTAGGGAAGGAAGGCAAGGCTCTACTGGGGCCCAGCTGTGAGGGAGGAACGGAGAGTTGGTATCACTCTAGCTCTGACGGACCACAGGGTGCGGGGTCTGGAGGCACGCTACTTGCCAACAAGCTCTCCTTGGACCAGGCTGGGGCAGAGGGGCAAATCAGTTCTGCAGAAAGACTGTGGAACTTGCCAGCTGGGCTGCATCCCTTACCAGCAGTACAGCCACATCCTGGACCGGAGGGCACCCTTCTAGAAACTGAGGTCAAGGGCACGGGGCGTGTGAAGACCCAGTGGAAAGTATAGGCTTGGCCAGGAGAGATGGATGCTGAAGGCGGAGGACATATGTGCGGACATGTCTGTAGGAGCTTCGATATGCCTGAGGGGTGACCACAGCACCTGGCTGTCCTGGAACTCCCTCTGTAAACCAGGCTGGCCTCAAACTCACTGAGACCCACTTGTCTCTGCCTCCCGAGTACTAGTATCAAAGACACACACCACTATGCTTGGATCTGATTTGCAATTTCTGATTATTTTTTAAAAAATAACAATGTATCTCTTCTTTCCGTTTCTTAAGTTTTTGGTTATGAGCCTAGCCTTTAATGTCTGAGCCATCTCTCCAGCCCCTTTCCATTCCTTTTGTTTGTTTGTTTTTTGAGACAGGTTTCTCTGTGGCTTTGTAGGCTGTCCTGGAACTAGCTCTTATAGACCAGGCTGGTCTCGAACTCACAGAGATCCTCCTGTCTCTGCCTCCCGAGTGCTGGGATTAAAGGCGTGCGTCACCACGCCTGGCTTCCATTCCTTATAAAACTTTTTATCTCACTTTATGTCACAGGTTAACACTCCCTCCCCCCCTCCCCACCAAATGTTTTTGTTGTTCTGGTAGCGCCAAGGACGGAACTCTCTACCACTGAACTACACCCCCAACCCTCTTCTTACTCTTTACTTTTGAGACAAGCTTTCACTAAGTTGCCCAGGTTAGCCTTGAACTCCTCTTGTAGCCCAGGATGGCCTTGAACCTGTGATACTCCTGCCTCAGCCTCCAAAGTAGCTGCGATCACAAGACTGTACCACCAAGCTTAGTCTATTTCTTTTTTTTTTTTTTTTTTTTTTTTTTGGTTTTTCGAGACAGGGTTTCTCTGTATTGTTTTGGAGGCTATCGGTCCAGCCCGGCCTCGAACTCACAGAGATCCGCCTGCCTCTGCCTCCCGAGTGCTGGGATTAAAGGCGTGCGCCACCACCGCCCGGCGCTTAGTCTATTTCTATTCCTTTCTCATTTTCATCTTGAATCTTATTTCATTATTTTGTCGTCTCAGAAAAGAACTCTACACCTACTGTCATGTAGGTATAAATATGAGATGAATCCAGATTCTGTGACTAAATACCAGGGATTTGGTGGCATAAGTCAAACACAGGTATTTACCATGCCACAGTTGGTGGCCACTGAAAAATTTCTACACCCGGATAAGCCTCTCCACCTATGCAGCAATCCAAATCAGACCAAATCAAACCAAATTAGAAAAAGCCCACGTTTAATGGATACAATGCTCCCGGATGGCCTTCCAGTTCCCCAGAGAGGAGGTGGGAAAGGGAGACTGGAAAAACCATGAGTCTGTTTTCTGGGGGGCAGTTTAAATACCCTGTGGTCTTGAGCATCTCTGGGGGAGGGGCCATCATCTGGCAGGCTTTCTGAGATGTCGCAGGGTTTGGAGAGTGATAGGGAAGGGGGCTTGGGTGGAACCTCCATCATAACATTCCAGACTCTTTGGTTGTGGATGTCAGGGGCTGGGGTGAAGCTTCCACCACAACAGCTACTACACTGCACAACACATACGTAGACCACTTCCACCACAACAGCTACTACACTGCACAACACATACGTAGACCACTTCCACCACAACAGCTACTACACTGCACAACACATACGTAGACCACTTCCACCACAACAGCTACTACACTGCACAACACATACGTAGACCACTTCCACCACAACAGCTACTACACTGCACAACACATACGTAGACCACTTCCACCACAACAGCTACTACACTGCACAACACATACGTAGACCACTTCCACCACTGCCTGGCTATGTCCAGCTTTTTAAATGTATTAGTGTTTTGCCTGCATAGATTATGTGCACCATGTACATGCAGTACCCAAGGAGACCAGAAGAGGGTGTTGGATACCTTGGAAATGAGGGAAATGAACCCCAATCTTCTGAAAGGGCAGTCAGTGTTCTTAACCAATGAACCACCCTTCAGCCCCTAATCTGGCCTAATTCCAGGGATCAAATTCCTGTCACTGGGCTTACCAGGCAAGCACTTCTCTGGCCTCTCAACCTATTTTCTGACTTACACATAACATACCTTGAAGGGCACACGAGCCAGTTAAAAATGGCACTGAGGGGAAGTCAAGAGGGCAACATCCTGAGATGTTTACAAAGAAGGGTGATTGATTGCCAAGATCGAGCCATGAACGGCTGTGCTCACTAGGTAAAGCATAGGGTGCTTAGGTGTGTGATAGGCTGGCATTTCCCCATCCCCCTGTGGTTCTTTTCTTTAAAAGATGTTTGCTGAAGCCGGGCGGTGGTGGCGCACGCCTTTAATCCCAGCACTCGGGAGGCAGAGGCAGGCGGATCTCTGTGAGTTCGAGGCCGGGCTGGACCGACAGCCTCCAAAACAATACAGAGAAACCCTGTCTCGTAAAAACCAAAAAAAAAAAAAGATGTTTGCTGTGGGGCCATAAATGAGTCCTGCTTGACTAGACTCAGGGCTGTGTCTGATCGTCTCCAGGGTCCTGGGAGGCCGGGGGACTTACCCTTCCTCGGACCCAGCTCAGCCTTCCCTGGTTGGGCTGAGACCCTGCAATACTTCATGGGTCATTGCATAACTTTTCCGTTTTGTTTTTTTCCTCACAGGATCTCCTGTGCCCAGGCTGGCCATCTGAACCCCCATCCTTCTGCCTCCACCTTCTAAGTTCTGGGGTGACAGGTGTGGCACCACAGTCAATTCCTTCACTGGATTTCTTTTGGTGAAATTCATCAAGTTAACCTTTAAATTCTAAACCCTTTGAGAAAGAGGGGTCATTGAATAACTTATTAGAGAGAGTGTGGTGGCACAGACTTGCCATCCCAGCACTCGGGAGGCTGGGGGGATCAGGAGATCAAAACCATCCTCTGCCCCACAGTGAATCCAAGGCTACCCAGGGCTGCACAAGACCCTGTCTGACACTTTAATACGATGGGCGATTGTGTCACACGCCTTTAATTCCAGCACTCAGGAGTTAGAGGCAGGTGGATCTCTGTGAATTTGAAGCCTGTCTGGTCTACACAGTGAGACCCTGTCTCAAAACATAACAAATGAATAAATAAATATAAAAACTTAACATAAGGCAAGCCGGGCATTGGTGGCACACGCCTTTAATCCCAGCACTCGGGAGGCAGAGGCAGGCGGATCCCTGTGAGTTCGAGACCAGCCTGGACTACCAAGCGAGTTCCAGGACAGCCTCCAAAGCCACAGAGAAACCCTGTCTCGAAAAACCAAAACTTAACATAAGGCAAATAATTTTCCTGACAAAGTTAAGCCTTGTTCATTGGAATTTTTGTTACTAGTTTAGGCATTCTGCTTGGGGATCCCATCTCCTTCATTTGAAGACAACTGTTCCAAGATTACGTAAAAAAGCCCCGGGGATACAGGTAACTGGCAGAGCATATACAGGGCTTCTGTCTCCAACCCCGCCAAAATAAAAGGGGGTGGGGGGATGAAAGAGAGTTTCCCCACTGATTCTAAGTTGACAGACTCTGCTTCCCATACAGTATTCCAATTTCATTTCAATGAACAAAGATATTGGTTTTGTTTGTTTGGTTTTTTTTTGGGGGGGGTGAACCAGCTCAATGGTACAGTGTGGACTTGGCTGCTCTCCCAGCCCTATTTTACACCAAGAATGGGACAGACCTTTAAATAGGTATGTTTGTGTCCCAGGATGGAGACGACCTTTTACATTTTCCTTGTGAGGCAAAATATTCAAGGTTGGTGGTAGAGCTCTTACCAGCTCATAGCCAAAGGTGGCCTTGAACTCCTGATCCTCTTGCTTCCACCACTCCTATCCAGGTGCTAGGATGACAGGCGTGTGCCACCATACCTGCTTTTAGGTGGTGATAGGGCTCAAATCCTGCGCTTCAGACATGCTTGCAAGCGTTCTACCAACTGAGCTACATCCGGAGTCCGCAGTGTGGGTTTTGGTTTGTAAAAAAGTCGAGCAACTTCTTTTTTTTTTTTTTTTTTGGTTTTACGAGACAGGGTTTCTCTGTATTGTTTTGGAGGTTGTCGGTCCAGCCTGGCCTCGAACTCACAGAGATCCGCCTGCCTCTGCCTCCCGAGTGCTGGGATTAAAGGCGTGCGCCACCACCGCCCGGCTTCGAGCAACTTCTTTATGTCCCGCAGCCAGTGTAGGGCTCGGCCTCAGCAAAGCCCTTGGTCTGAAGCACGTGGGCAGCCTTCTCTTCTTTGGCACTCACTACCCCGCACTCTCATTGCCTTTAGCAGTTTCTGCACAACTACTGACAACCTAATGAGTTCAGAGCACTGACTGAGCTGGAGAGGAGAAATGAAGGAATATACCCGCTGTGCCCAGGACAGTAGGCTTTTCTGCCCGCTTGGCGCTCAGGCCTGTCTCCCCAACGGCACACACTTGGAACCAGACCATCCCCAGTTCCAATCCTGCTGTCCTTCTCTGACAGTGCTGACTAGGCCAGCAAGGCTGAACCACGACAAATGTCCAAAAGTACTACTTTAGTTTATAACCGGCTTCTTAGAGGTCTGGCCCAGCCTCTCCTTTATTTTATCTCCTAAGACTGCCCTAAACTCAGGCGGACCTTCGCTCTTGCACTTTCCATTGGCCGAATAGTAATTGAATCCCGCCCCTTGTGGAAAGTACCCAATGAAGGCTCCCGATCAATGAGACGGACAAGCGGAAGGGCGCAGGCTGAGGGCCCGAGCAGGGACTCCACGTTCCTACCTTCCGCGCCCGAGCGTCATCCTCCGCCTGGATCTCGAACTCGCCGTCCTCCGATTCGCTGTCACGGGCCTGGGAAGCCCCAGTCCGTCGCTTCCGCCGCCCCTTCTTCTTCCACGGCGCCATGGCGGCACGCGACCCCGAGCCAGGACCCACGCGTCTGCCGGCAGCCATGCGAGCCGGGAACTTAGACCCAGAAGAAGGCGGGACCTACATGACGCAAAGATTGCGAGGAGGCGGAGCCTTGGGAGGGAACCAACCAGCAAAGTGAAGGGCGGGGCCTGAGTGACCAACCCACTGCGCTGAGACTGAGCGTCAACGTGGCTTCGCCAATGGGGCGGGGCCTGAGGGAGATACCCGCAGGGTGGAGGCGGGGCCTGAGGGACATACCAACAAGTGGGGGGTGAGACCTGAAGAATGTACCAACTGAACCGGGATAGAGGCTTAAGGGACGTAACAACTGTGCAAATATACAGCTCTGAGAGATGTACCAACTGTACTGGGAGGCGGGTATAAGTGACATACCAACTGAGCGGGTGGAAGGACTTGAGGAATGTACCAACTATGCATGGCCCGACCCTAAGAGGCGGGGCTTAGGGAATGACCCCACGAAACGGGGTGTGGCCTGGGGAACGTACCATCTGCGCAGGGGCGGGGACTAGGGACATACCACCTGCGTAGTGGCGGGCTGTCTCTCCTGTTGCCCAGCGCGGGATGCGCGTGGGCGCATGTCGCTGTGGCACCTCTGCGCTTGCTGTGCTGTGAGGGGATTTGTGGCGGAGCCGGAGCTTGCTGGCCAGAGGCCCCAGTAGGAAAATCGCCGGGCACGGAGTTCCGGTGATGCCTGCACTTTCAGCTTTGTAGACTGACTGATGCATGATTTTCTGCTGTTTGGAGCCTGAGTTGTGGTCGGGAAAATGGATTTAATCTGAGAGACCGAACGGGGCTATTGACGAGAACTAGAACGCACTACATTTGCAAAGTATTTTGCGCAAGGTAGGTAGACGTGGTGGCGACAGTGGCATGGGAGTCCTTTTCCCCTCCCACCATAGTTGGATTTTTCTGACTGGTGCTATGCCACTGTACGCCCGTAGTCGTACTGTAAATATTTGTTGAGCATACAACGTAGACTAAACGTGTGTATCTGTTTATTCATTAAATATTTGCTGACGGCATTTTCCCCTGTCTTGACAACTAAAAAGACAGGAGTGCCTGCTTAGCCTGCAGCTTGCATAGACCACGGGCTTCGAACCCATGCATCTCAGACGCCAGATAATCGTGCAGCTCTATGTGAGAAGTAGAAGCAGGAATCAGAGTAAAAATATAATGAGTTCCAGACCAGCTTGAGCTACAAGAAATCCTGGGTAGGGAAGGGGCAAAAAAAGTGATTCGTTTTCAAGATACCTCCTGAACTGCTAGTTCCCCTTTTGAGAAAGACCAGTCCCTTTCCCTCAGCAGGAAAAGGCCCTTTTCCCTTGGGCTTGAGACTCCAGGTTGCCACTGTTACTTACCTGGCCCTGCTGTTGACTCTCACCCTTTTCCCAGGGAGCCCCGGAAAAAAGACCACACCCACCGGCACTCTCGACGACCAAGGCAGTGAAGATCCTGGTGGAGCTGGCCGGCTTTGAGTGGCATGCAGGCGCTCCACCTTCAACACCGCAGCCCCAGCAGTTACAGGGTCAAGGCCAGGGCATCCTATGTGGATGAGAGCCTGTTTGGCAGCCCTACGGGAACCCGGCCCAGCCCACCAGACTTTGACCCACCCTGGGTGCAGAACTGTCACAGGTCGAGAGGAGTGGGCCCAGGACCACCGAAGGTCTCTCTGGTGAAGAGAGACTGTGAGCCCACCCCCTCTAGGGGCAGCACCCCAAGCCTCACACCAAGGAAAAAGAACAAATACAGGTAACAGGGTGGGAGTGTCACTTTTCTGGTAGCTGTGCTGAATGCTTGGGAAGGGCTTGATCAGTGGTGGTGTTGGCTGGTAAGATGGCCCAGTGGCAAGGGCTCCTGTCTCGAAAGCCTAGTGACCTGCGATTGCCGGAACTTCATAGAGGTGGAAGAACAGAATGACTCCACAGAGTTGTCCCCTTCCTCTCTGCGTGTGCTGCGGTCTGAACATGCCCACATAGACACATCATGCACACATAGTAATGAAAAATTTAAAATATTTTTAAAGGAAATTTCTTGGAAGGAAAAAACTTCAGACCAAAAAAATATATAATTGCATTTCTGCTGAGCTCATAGAGACTTTTTTGAAAAGTCCATTTGTATTGGCTATCTTTGTATGGGAGGGGTGTATACTGGTAGAGGTCGGAGAGTGGGTCCTTTCCTTTTACAACGTGGGTCCTGAGGATGGAACTCCGGTTATCAAGTCTTGGCCATAAGTACCCATACCCACTGAACCATCTTGCTGACCCAAGCTCCTATAGTTTTTTTACTGTTCATAAACAACAGTGTGACCATTGTGTGCATAACACTCAGTGGACTTAATTACTTCATTGATCTGGAGCTGAGTAGATTCAGAAGGGTGTTTGTCATTTGATGCACATGACTTGAGCATATACAGATACTCACAAGGGCTTCTGGAGTGCCCCCCCTCCATATACCAAAGAATGACTGTAATTCGGACTCTTGGTGGTGCGGTTCGCGTGAGGTGCTCCAGGTGAGGGACCCTGTTACAGCTGCTCCCCTCTCCATCACGTCTGTCTCCAGGAGAAAAGGGAAACAAGCCCCAAGCTGCTTTGGGCCAATACCTATGAGCCTATTGAAGAAGTCAGGACCCCCTGAGGGTGCCAGGCAGGCTCCCGCTTCTTCCTGCAGCTGGTGGGGAGTGAGGTTGTAGAGGGCTTTAGTGTGTCACCCCAGGTCACTGCATCCTTTCTTTCCTAGGTTGATTGGCCACACCCCATCCTACTGTGATGAGTCACTGTTTGGCTCCCGGCCACAGGGCCTCAGCAAAGAGGGGTCTCGGACAGCCATGGGGGATGCTGCCAAGCTCCGGACCCTTTTCTGGACACCACCAGCCACCCCTAGGGGCAGCTACTCACCTCGTCCCAGGGAGACCCCTCTTCGAGCCATTCACCCCGATGGACCCTCCAGGACAGAGCCCAGCATGACCACAGGCTCCCAGAAGACACCCCAGGAGGGGTTGGATGCTCCCCACTCTCTGGGGCAGAGGCGTTCCCATTCACTCACCCACCTGAGTGTCCCCAGCATGGGTCATCCAGCTGCCGGTACCCCCCAGACCAATGGACCTTGGAGTTCCCGGCCTTCCACATCAAGGATGACTGCCCGGAGTCCCCTGGTCACTCCCAAGGCACGGTCAGGCAGTGTTTCAGGGCCAGCTGCTCCTCAACGAGGGGCCAGCTCCCCTAAACCAAAACCTCCTTGGAAATGAGGCTCTCACCAGGTAAGCCTTTGGCTTATAGCAAGGACTCAGCTCAGGTGGGGCCCTCTGGGGACCAGTGTCTCCAGGACCCCCAATCACTGGAGAGCCTCTGCGAGGCTCCATGGTGAGGATGGGTCATACTTTCTTTTGTCCCCACAAGCTCAGGATGTCCCTAGCCCTCTCTGTGGAGTATTTGGGGTCCTTGAGATGTCGTCTCTGGCCATTTCTCAGCCTCTCTGTGCATGGGTGCCAAATCCCACCCAGTTTCCTGCTCAGGATTCAGTTTCTACAGGGGTCTGGGGGCCTTAAATGAGTTTTCTGGACTGTGTGTGGACCCCAAGGGTGGAACATGTGGAGACATTATTTTAATATTTATATATTTATTCCGTGTATTAAATGTATTTAGCTCATCCAAGCCAGTGGCGTGTTACTTTTAACCCCTTAAGTAAAGGCCTTGGGAAATTTAAAGAGTAGAGTTAAACAGAACCACAGGTGATTTGAGCATGTGGCAGAAATGACAGTGGCTGCTGAGGTCTGAGGACATAGACCTCAGGTAATGCTTAGTCCACCCCGATCCTGTCTCTGTCCTGTGACTCCATACATGGGTAGGTGGATGGTTCTTGCCAGCTCAGGACATAGTAAGAGTCCTTTGCTAGCAATTGTCTTGTTAGGAGGGCGGGGATGTAGCTGGGTGGTGGAGTATTTACCTAACATACATGAATGGGGCTTTGGCATCAATGCCCAGCAACCTCTGCCCCCAACAAAACAGAACAGGACTTAGTGATGAGCCAGGTGGGAAAGGCAGGCAGGGACAGGCGTCTGCAGAGCCCTAGGCCTGGGCTGCTAGGTGCCTCAGAGCTTCTCTCAGGTCCTGCATCCTTCCCTGGATAATGACAGTGGGGTCCTGAGTCTCTCCTGGTCCCCCTCCCTCCCTGAGCATTTTGTGAATGCCAGTGGGCTACTCACCATTGTCTAGGTATAGCCAGGCCCAGGGACATGTGTGTGCAGAGATCAGTCAGCTATCATCTGGGCACATATACACTGTACTTTAGCCACATAGGATGTTTAAGCTTCTAGAACTTTCTTTTTTTGTTTGTTTGTTTTTCAAGGCAGGGTTTCTCTGTGGCTTTGAAGGCTGTCCTGGAACTAGCTCTTGTAGACTAGGCTGGTCTTGAACTCACAGAGATCCGCCTGCCTCTGCCTTCCGAGTGCTGGGATTAAAGGCGTGCGCCACCACCGCCCGGTAGCTTCTAAAACTTTCACAAAGGATTGGTTAGTCTACCTCCTTTTTCTCTATCCCTTCCCTTCATGTTGATAGACACAGACTAGAAACAGAAACACACATTCTTCTCCTGTCTATACTAAAGGTCAGCTGGAGCCCAGGTGATACCACCAGGTAGTTGATACCAGGCCTGGAGTGTGGTTAATACCAGGCTGTGTTGTCAGAGCAGCTGGGGGGTGACAGAACGGGAGGGGGGTGGCAGCGCCTGATGGGAACAACAAGAGGTAGAGGAGGGGGCACTGGAGAGATGACCCAGCAGTTAAGAGTGCATACCGCTCTTCCAGAGGACCTGGGTTTGGTTCCCAGCACCCACATCAGGTGGTTCATAACCACCTGTAATTCCAGTTTGGGGGATCCAACACCCTCCGACTTCTGCAGGCATCAAGCATGCATGTGATGTATGCACACACACAACCTTTTAAGAAAAGGAGAGGGGCTGGAGAGATGGCTCAGAGGTTAAGAGCACTGACTGCTCTTCCAGAGGTCCTGAGTTCAATTCCCAGCAACCACATGGTGGCTCACAACCATCTGTAATGAGACCTGGTGCCCTCTTCTGGCCTGCAGGGATACATGCAGACAGAACACTGTATACATAACAAATAAATATATCTTTAAAAAAAAAAAGAAAGAAAAGGAGAGTAACCAGGCCGTACTTGTGTATGCTTTAATCCCAGCACTTGGGAGGTAGAGGCAGGTAGATCTCTGTGAGTTTGAGGCCAGCCTGGTCTATAGAGCTAGTTCTAGGACAACCAAAACTACACAAAGAAAACCTGTCTCAAAAACAAAAATAAACAAAGAAAGAAAAAAGCAGGGACTGAAGGGTTAAAAGAACTTAACTGCTCTGTCAGAGGTCCTGAGTTCAGATCTCACCCACTTCAAGTGGCTCACAAACATCTGTAACTCTAATTCCAATGAATTTTGCAGCCAGCTATGGACTCCATGTTCACACCCACATAAATAAAATAACCCTTGTTGTTTTCGAGACAGGGTTTCCCCGTGTAGCTCTGGCTGTCCTGGCACTCACTTTGTAGACCAGGTTGGCCTTGAAGCTCAGAGATCCTCCTGCCTCAGTCTCCCAAGTGGCGTGCACCACCCCCACCATCCCCATAGCCATCATTTTTGTTTGTTTGAAGTGGAGGAAGCCAAAGAGGTGGCCCGTGCCTGTAAATTCAGCACTTAGAAATCAAGAGGCAGGTGGATCACCAACCTGGGCTACAGAGGAATACTTTGTCTCAAAATAAAGTGCAGGGTGGCTGCTGCTGCCTCACCAGGGTGGAGATACTGGGACATCAGGGTGATGGGATCCTCACAGTAAGGGCTTTAGGATTCTATGGGATGGTTCTCCATTTTTGAGATTCTAGCAACTAGTAATTTTCAAAAAATCATGCAATCTAAACACCAAACAAAAACACTGCTGCCCTCCTGAGGGTTCAGAGCAAAGGGGTGGAGCTGTGTATGGGTGGGCAGGCCAGGGCTCCCTGGTGATGATGTCTCCATAGTAACCACAGTAGCTCCTGGGTTGGGACCAGGGCCTCATTTCTCAATGAAGATGTGGGAGAATGGGGCACCCTCCTCAGGATGCTGCGCCCATGAGCAACACATCCTCATTCTGGGATAGACAAATCTGTTAAAGGGTGAGCCCTTGAGTATGGTTTAAATGTTTTTTATTATTATTTGTATTTTTGGCCATCATTAAAGCCAGAGATGAAAAGGCTGGGGCGGGGTGGGGGCATCACTCAGACTGGGCAGGGCGTGGTTGAGGCTGGGCAGGGGCGGGGCCGTGCCAGGCAATGGTTACTTCTTTTTGCCTTTGCCCTTGCCCTTGCCCTTGGCCTTCTTCTCCTTGCCCTTCTCCTCTTTGCCCTTCTCCTTGCTCTTCTCCTTGCCCTTCACCTTGTCTTTGCCCTTGCCCTTGCCCCGCTTCTTCTTCCTGGATCTGAGCATGGAGCGTACCAGGTAGCCCTTCCACACGGCCTGGATGAGAGTGGCCGCCCTCACCATGCGCACCATCTCGCGCTCCGCCTCCACCCGCTTCTTGGAGTTGATCTCGCTCTCAGCACGGATCTGGGCGAACTCCTCCACCAGCACCGCATGCCTCTCCTTTAGCTCCTCCAGCTGCAGTTTCTCCTCCTTGTGGATGCTCTCCAGGTCTTCATATTCGTCCTAGGAGAGGGGCAGGGCTGGGGCACCTGGAATGGCCTCCATGCTCCCCATGCGCCCTGGCTTCCGCCCCAGCCAGGTAGTATGCAGACAGAGCCTACTGCACCTGGGCTCACTCCAGGAAGAACCCAGCTGAACGGATCTCAGGATGAAGGGAGAAAAGGAGCTGAGAGATGTGCAAGCCTAGGTGTGTGTGTGTTTTCTTGTGTACGTGCACATGTGAATGCATATGGCGTGTGTGTGTGTGTGTGTGTGTGTGTGTGTGTGTGTGTGTGTGTGTGTGTGTGTGTGTGTGTAGGCTAGAGGTCGATGTTAGGCTTCCTCCTCAATCTTTCCACTTTTTAAAAAAGGCAGGATCTTTCACTGAACCTAGAGTTTGCTGGTGTCACTGGGCTGACAAACTCCCAGCTTCTGCCTGTCTCTGCCTCTCGGCACTGTGGTAACAACTGCACACTGCAGCCTTCAGCTTCTACTTGGGTGCTGGGGATGCAAACTCAGGTCCTGGTATTTGCATAGCAAACATTCTACTAACTGAGCCAGCCCCCCAGCCACTGACCGTACCTTTTGAAGTCTAGTTTCTCGGCATCTTTAGGAGATTCCCTTTTAAGCTTCTGGTTTACCAGACATTCCAAATACCAGGGACAGTTTTGGGGATTAAGTATGAAAGGCCCCTCACAGACACATGGCTGGAGGCCTGGTCCCCGCTAGGTGGCGCTGTTGAGTGGTGACTGAATCATGAAAGCTCCACTCTCATCAGTGGATTAACCAGTTGATGGAGTCAATGCTCAACAGACAGGAGGGGGCCTTCCAGGAGGAAGTAATTCACTGGCTGGGGCGGCTGGGGGGGGCAGCTGGGGCTTGAAAGGTATCTTCTCTTTGGTCCATGTCTCCCTCCTCCTCTCCCTCCTCAACCCTTTTCTCCTCCTTCCCCTTGTTCATTCAGAGTGAACATTTCTGTCGCCCTCTCTGTGACATTCCCACGTTGATCTCAAGGCAGAGGGGTCAGGTGACCATGGCCTGAACTCTCCAGAACTCTGAGCTCAGATGAAACTTTCTTCCCTTCCTCAAGTGACAGAGTTGGCTCCCGAGGATTCGATGCCACTGTGCCAGGATCCAGTGTGGCCGTGGGGAGCTGCCGCTGGTTAGGCAGCTTCACAGAGGCCCAGAGCAGCAAGGTCTGCCTTGGGTGCTCTTGCCCCTCTTAATGCAATTCACACCTCCCCCTCCTCTCTCTCTCTCCCCCTTCTTTCCACCAGGATCTACCAAGTATCCACAGAGGGCGGAGCACTTCGGGGACAAGGACTGGGTGGACAGGTTCCCCGCCAGCAAGGATCCTGTGGCTCTCAGTGGACTCTGTCTGTAGCATTTGTTTTGTAGTACTGGACCCTGTGCAAACTAGGCGGGTGCTGAGCCACCCTAGCCGTGTCCCTAGCCACACAGCCTCCACTGGGACCCATGAAACAGGCACTAGCCACACAGCTCCTGTGCCCGGAGGGCACTGTGGTCAGTGTGAGAGAGGTCTGCTTGCTTTTCTCTGACCAGGCTTGGCCTTAAACTGTCTGGCAAGAACCCTCAGCTCTCCAGGCCCGCACAGGTCAAGGCCAGGTGCCACCCATGTCAACAGCAAGTGGGTGGGGCCATACAGGCTCCCACTTCGGGTCAGGACTTTATCTAGACCTAGCTGGGGGCTCAGACACATTCAGTAATGGTGTCTCATTAACCCTCCCACTATGGTCCCACGACAGACATTGCAGTCTGTCTTCCTCCTGGTTAGATACAAACTCAGAAAGGCCAACTGATGTCAGGTGACACACCTGATGAGTGACACCAGTTTGGAACCTGCAGATGACAATGAGGACTGTCTATGCTTCCCCGCCTTATCCGGGAGCCTGGCACCTTTTGGGTGCTAGGTGGACGCTGAGTGACAGTGGTCGGGGTGGACTCCCCACTGAACTCGGAGCAGGCAGGAGCCGAGCCAGCCTGGAGGCGGCGACCACAGGACTGGATATCAGATGGAACCACATTCTCCTGGATGGCTCTGGCTTTCATCAGTTTCCCACTTTTCCTGTCTTCCCACCCGGCACCCCCACCCCCGTGGACCTCCCTCTGGGACATGCCCCTTGAGGCAAAGGGTCTCCAGAGAGGCTCATACCTAGGCCATCCTGGGCAACTCCTACCCCACTCCCATCCCTCCTAACCCTCAGGGGGAACCCCTGGCACATACCTGCTTCTCGCTCATCTCCATGTCGTATTTCTGGATCCAGTTCTCAATTTCTGTCTCCACTTTATATTTTTTCTTAAACAAAAGCAAAGTCCAGGGCCAGTGGGTAGGTAGACACTTAGGACTTGAGTCTAATCCCCTGGTCCCGCAAGGTGGCAGGAGAGCACTGACGACAGAGCTGTTCTCTGACCTCCACACATGTATCGTGGTACATGTACACACACACACACACACACACACACACACACACACACACACACACACACAGTTTAAAGGGTCAGCTCCTAGCTGGGGGTATGGCTCAGAACCTTTGCTTAGCATGAATGAAGCCCTAAATTTAAAAATTAAATATACAGCTGGGCAGTGGTGGCACTTTAGTCCCAGCACTCGGGAGGCAGAGGCAGGCAGATCTCTGTGAGTTCAAGGTCAGCCTGGACTACAGAGTGAATTCCAGGGCAACCTCCAAAACTACAGAGAAATCCTGTCTTGAACTCCCCCACAAAAAATTAAATGTACTCGGAGCTGGAGAGATGGCTCAGCAGTTAAGAGTGCTGGTTTCTCTTCCAGAGGACCCAGGTTCAATACCCAGCACCCGCATGGTAGCTCACAACCCTCTGTAACTCCAGTTATAGGGGACCCAACATCCTCTTCTGGCCTCTGAGGGCATTTTACACATGTGGTACACAGACATACAAACAGACACACATGTAGGCAATATACCCACATATATAAAATAAAAGCTTAAAGAAAAAGAGAACACTGGACATGGTACCAGGCATTGTAGCACTAGAGAGGCAGAACTGGGTGCTTCTCTGTGAGTTCAAGGCCAAGCCTGGTCTACAGCCAGAGCTACTAAAGAATCCTGTCTCAAAAAAAAGAAAGAAAGAAAGAAAGAAAGAAAGAAAGAAAGAAAGAAAGAAAGAAAGAAAGAAAGAAAGAAAAGAACAAATTTCCCCATGCATAAACCAGAATGTGATTCTGTCATAGAAAAGAATGATGCTAGACACGCCTCCCCCATGGGTGAACTTTGAGATGGTGTCGAGGAGGAGCCTCGCGCCCCCCACCCTTGCCCCCCACCTCCCAGCAGATTCCACCTGTCTTGGCTTCCCCACTCCTGGGCCAGCCCTGCCCTGCCCCCGAGACCTCAGGGCACCTTCCTCAGGGCCTGCTCCACCTCCCGATTCTCCATGACCAGGTTGTGGTACTGCGCGCGAAGTGCCAGGATCTCTTGCTGTATCTTGGCCAGCCGCGCCTGGGAGGCTCGGTAATCCACCTTCTGCTGCTTCTCCGCCTCCTGCTTCGTGCGGAGGAGGCTGCTCTCCGAGAACTTGAACACCTGGTGCAGGTGGTTCTTCAGCTCTTGGATCACAAACTTCTCCTTCTCCACCTAGGCCAGGACGGATGAGGATGGGGCCCCGTTAATAGCCACACAGGACCCCCCCCATCACAGGGGCAGCTGGCCTTTGGCTGTGCCCTCTCTTAGGGTTTGGAACCAGCCAGCCTTATGCTCATCTCAGGCCTGGGACCACATACTCCCCTCCACCTAGGAAAGGGGTCAGCAAACAAAGGCTCATAGGCCAGATCCAAGCAGCCATATCTGGCAATAAATTGGAACACAGCCCTTTCTGCTACTGTTCTTGGCTGCTTCCACACTAACAGCAGAGTCACGTGGAGACCACTGTCCCTCTGAGCCCAAGTGCGTGGATTGTGCGACCCTTTGGAGATGAGATACAGAGCCAAAAAGAAAGCAGGCTGCAGGAAGACAGTAGCCGCTGAGGCCCCACAGTCATCAAGGTGTGACAGATCTGAATTGTAACTGATCCTGGGGCTCACTATAATACACTAACCAGTCAAGCCTGGGTGGGGGCGGGGTTGGCAGGAACGCACAATACAGGTATGCTTTAAGCTGCCTGCAGAACCTCTGAAAGTTATCCCAACACTCAGAAGGCACAGACAGGGGATCTCCATGAGTTCAAGACTGGTCTCTGGCATTCCAGCCCAGCCCAGGCTGTGTAGTGAGTCCCTGTCTCGAAGGAACAGTATGCACTCTTAACCACTAAGCCGTCTCTACAACCCCTCCCCCGTGTGTCTGAGGTCTCTCCTATGTAAGATGAAGACCCCACTTAGCTGGTAACAAAGACACTTTGCCAGACTCTGGCTGGGAAGGCCTTCCTCACTTGTCTGGCTCAGTCCCCCTTCCTTTGTCCTTCTTGTCTTAGTGGCAACGTCCCTCTGGTCCTTCTGGCCCAAGTTCAGTGCCCTGGTACCAGTGCTCTGGAAGTGCCCTGTCCTTACCCTTCACACTTCCAAACAGCAGTCAACTAATTCCTTAATGCCCTCCTGGGTCCTGTGAGCTCTTGAGGCTGAGTTTATTAAAGACATACCTCCTAGGGAAATGCTCGGGACAACCTCTACGGAGTCAATGAAGAGGAAGCTATTTGAATCAATGAAAGAAAACCCAAGTCCCAAAGGGCTCGGCCCACACAGTTCATCCCAGAACCTGAGGGATGCTGGGAAGTATACCTCTGACTCCTTATTCTTCAGCACTTCCGCCAGCTCGGTCTGGAGGGCGTCGATGACTTCCTGGTTCCTTGCATTCCTCCGGTTGATGTCCTGTATGAATTGGTTCTTCTCCCTTACTTCCATAGGGCTGGTGAGGAGCTTTTCAAAGAGGTAGCCCCGAAGCTCCACCAGGCCCTCGAGGAGGCGCTGGGCCCCGGGGCTTCTGCCTGGTGCATGCACCTGCATCATCGTGATGATCTGGGAGTTGCTGAACAGGATCCTCAAGACGGCCTTGGTGGAGTCTCGGAACTGGTGTGCCAGTGACCACAGGTTGGCCTTGCACAGTTCTAAGGACAGTAGGCGATCTCGGCACCAGGATTCCTCGGCTTCCTCCTTCTCTTCCTCCAGCTGTTTTTGTTTCTCCTGCAGGATGCTGGCACCCTCCAGAAGGACCTGGCCAATGTCCAGATGTTCTCTGATGGCCCTCACCAAGTCTTCAGGGAACATTCCCTCCAGAGCCTCTGGGTGGGTCTCCACGTAGGACATCAGGGTCATCAACCCCACTTTTTGTATGGCCTCATCCAAGACTGACATGATTCTCTTGGCCTCAATGGTGCTGAGCTTAGATTTGGATGGTGCCAAGGTCTTCATCGGCTCAGCTGGGATTATGTCTGTTTTCAGTGGGATTCTTTGGATGGCCAGCCCTTGGTAGGAAGGGGCCATGCTGTAGATGTCCAAGGCCATGTCTGGAGCGGCTGGCTTTTCTCTATATACCCTGGCACCGAGACGTCACCCAACTCAAGACTCCGTTGGCTTTTCAATCAGCAACCCTGCAAAGGAAGGGGTGGCTGTTAGGTATGATGGCCATGAGGACCACTCTATAGAACCTGGAAGCTACTTTGAGCTCTTTGGGTTTTTTGTTTTGATTTTATTTTGTTTGTTTGTTTGTTTGTTTGTTTGTTTGTTTGTTTTTGAGATTGGATCACTTAAAGCCTAGTCTGTCCTTACCCCTGACCCAAGTACTGGGGTTACAGGTGTGTACCACCCTACCAGGCTTATCTTTCAGCATTGTGATGGTGCTTGGTGCTTGACTGAGCCCCTGGAGTAAGAGGACTGAGGGTAGCGGGGAGTCCCTGGCACATATACCAGGCAAGAGGCAGCCACTGTTCTGAGGACCTTCATATGGGGATTACCCAAGTGTCAGAAATGTAGAGAGGCCAGCTTTGGGCAGCTGAGGTCACCAGCAGTGTCAACAGCAGGAAGCCACACAGGGAGGAGAAGTGAATGGGGGAGCAGGGGCAGCAGACCCCAGAGGAGTTGAAGCTATAGCTGGAAATACTGTCCAAGCAAAGCAGAGCGTGGAAGATGTGTTCTACCCCTGCTTGAATTTCCTCCCCATGTTGACCCCCAACCAGTGGGAAATCAGCTGTAGAGCCTGGGTCACAGCCAAGCACACAGCGCCAGATCAGCAGCCCTGCACACATAGGAGGCTGGGACAAGGCACCACAGGTCACAGAGTAGGATGGGACATGGACAGAGCAGGATGGGCCACAGAGGAGGAGAGGACATGGACACAGTAGAGTAGGACATGCATAGGACAAGACACAGACAGAGCTGAACAGGTCACGGCCAACAATGGGGCAAAAGCAAGCAGGGTGGGTGACAGTGCACCAGCACATGTCAGGAATGTGTGTGTTTGGGTGTAAGTGTGCATGTGTGTAGGTGTGCATGCCTATGTAGTGTCCATGTAAATAGAACGTTGGTGTGTGTAGATATGCATGTATGTGTGGATGAGCATTATGTGTGGGGGGGTCTGTATGTGTGTATGTGTGCGCACATATTACATGTCCATGTGCAGGCCAAAGGTTACCATCAGGTATCTTCATTTATCCACCTCGTACTTGTTTTTGAGACAAATCAATTCATGTCCTGGACCAGTGGTTCTCAATGACCCCCATCAGGTTTGCATATCAGGTATCATGAATATTAGATATTTACATTATGATTCATAACAGCAGCAAAGTTACAGCTATGAAGTAGCAGCAAAATAATTTTATGGTTGGTCACCACAGCATGAGGAACTGCACTAAAGGGTCACAGCGTTAGGAAGGTTGAGAACCACTGTCCAGACTAGGTTCTGAAACAGAGGAGGACATCAGAGTAACACCTGGGGAGCCACTAAGTCCAAGGTTTGGTTAGCAAAATTGTATCAATAGTGTCTTACCTATGTGTTCCTTTGTTTGAGGCAGAGCCTTGTGTAGCCCAGGCTGGCCTGGAACTTGTTATATGGGGAAGGATGCCCTTAAACTACAGCTTCCATCCCCAAATGTGAGGAGTTCAGGCACTGTGGCCACACCAGGTTTGACAATGTTACTTTCTTAGTTCTAACCTATGCTGTTTCCTAGCATCTCAGGAAACAGAATGAAGCATGCAGAGAACCTGTATTATGTAGCCAGGTTTTCTATAAATCCATAATTACTACAAATTAAGAGCAACTGTCTCAAAAACTCAATGGTGACATCAGAAATCAATAATTTTGTTGGCAAGCTGATCATAGTGTCGCACACCTTTGATCCCAGCAATCAGGAGGCAGAGACAGGAGAATCTCTGAATTTGAGGTCAGCCTAGTTTACATAATGAGTGCCAGGACAGCCAGAGTACATAATGAGACCCTGTGTCAAAAAACAAAACAAAATTTCCTGTGGCTTTGGTAGCACAGTGGCTGTAGCAGGAACTTGCAGTGGCCCCCGCTGGGTCTGGTTACCCCTGGGGGTGGGGCCTGGTTCCCTTTGCCCTAAGGTAGGAATCCTTGGGTTCAATGGAAGTTTTAAGCACGAGTCTTCAACAACTAATATTACATTGTAGGCCCAGGGAAACTGAAGTGTGTGTCTGGGCCACCACAGTGTCACATATGAATGCCATCTCTGTGTTCAGCCTGTCCCTTCTGCATGCTCCTTGCCCTGATGACTGGCTCTGATGTCCCCACACAGACCTGCTTAATTATTCACCACCTTTCCCTCTTCAAAGATGTGTCTGCCAACAGAAGCTGGGCTCATGGGGCTAGTTACACCCTGTGACTAGAGAAGCCTGGAGGGAGTGTGTGGAGGGGAGGACAGAGGACTCACTCTGGGACTCTGAGTTCCCAGCTGCAATCACTGGAGGGGACAGTGGCATTGATGTCTCTGTCTGCTCAAGTCTGTGTCCTTGTCAGGTAAAGGCACCTAGGTTTTCCCAGGAAACACAGCCTCTCCCCCATCATAGGCAGCTGCTCTGGTTTGTGTATAATCCCACAGGTTCCTGTATTAAAGCCATGGTCCTCAGCCCACGGCACCATGGCCATGCAGAGGTGATGCAACTGTAAGAGGTGGGGCCTGGAGGGGAGGTTGTTGGGGTTTTCTTTTTTGGGGGGGAGGGTGAGTGTTGAGACAGAGTCTTACTATGTAATCCTGGCTGGCCTGGAAGTCACAGGCATCCTCCTGCTTCTGCCTCTGGCTCCTGAGTGCTGGGATTAACCTGGCTGGTGCAAGATTTTTTAGGTGACTGGAGCTATGCCCTTGAAGGGAACACTCACACTGTCTCTCTTTTTCTTTCTTTTTCAGAGGACACCAGATCTCATTCAAGGTGGTTGTGAGCCACCATGTGGGTGCTGGGAATTGAACTCAGGTCCTCTGGAAGAACAGTCAGTGCTCTTAACCGCTGAGCCATCTCTCCAGCTCCCTGTCTCTCTCTTTCTTTCTCTCTGTCTCTCCCCACCCTCCTCCTCCATCTCTCCCCTTCTCTCTCTCCAAACCAATTGGAAGTGTGCAAGCTCATCACTCACAGGCTCTGCCATGATGTGATGCACTGCCCCTCCTCAGCCTCCAACACAGCAGAGCCACCAGTCACAGACCAGAGCAGCTTTACAAGTCATTCACCTCAGGGGCTTTGTCATGGTGAGAAAGCTGACAGTCTTGGGGGGACTGTCCATCAAATAGTCCTGTCCACTGTGTCTGAGGAACAGGGACTCTGGCTGAGGGGTGGGAACTGCCAAGCCTCCAGCTCCTTCCTGAAGACCCTGAAGTGGGGGATGGGAGACCTTCTTGGCATCTGTCTGAGGTCTGAAGCCTGGTTGGTCAGCATTGCTTTCATGGCTACACTTAGCCTCCATGTGCTTCTGCTGTTTGTGATCACAGAGGCTCAGCTGATGAGATATCCATTCAAAGAGCCCCTTAGGTGGTCAAACAGCACAGGAACTGATGATGGACCCAGATTAAGACGGAGGAGGAGAAGGCACTACGCAAAGCCACAGCGGACTATCTTTAGTTCTTCAGACCGCAGACAGCGAGTCAATTGGATGAGTATCTAAATGTCTAAGGACAGAGAAGAGAGGCGCCAGCTCTGTTGTGAAGGATGGGAGGCTCCTCGGCTGGGCAAAGCACACCCAGAGTGAGAACCTTCTTCAAGGCTGAAGACCCTGGCCGGGGGTTGGTGGCGCACGCCTTTAATCCCAGCACTCGGGAGGCAGAGGCAGGTGGATGTTTGTGAGTTCGGACCGACAGCCTCCGAAACAATACAGAGAAACCCTGTCTCAAAAAAAAGGCTGAAGACCCTGCCCAAGGAGGCACCATCTTGCTTCCCTAAGACTCATTCCCACTTCCTGCTCTCTCACCCCAGAGTGAGTTTTCTGGGCAGCTGTGGCGCCTCTCCCTGGCCCCTCTGAGGATGAAGGGTCCCCGCCCCGAGGCCACAGGATGAATGAAGGAAGAATTGGATGAACACACTTTTCCACGTTGTCCTCGGAGTTCTCCAGGCATCAATCAGAACTCCCAGGATGCTTGGGAGACAAAGGCTGGAAACTCAGAGCCACGGGGAATGTTTCCAATTTGCTTTCAGCCAAATTGCCTCTTTTGCTTTAAAGGGCAAGCTTGTTTTCTTTGATTACCAAGATGCCCATCAGTTCTTGACAGCTCATTTGGGTGAACAGGGGAAGGGGAAGGTGTGGGGAGCAGGGCGAATGATGACGCCAGCAAAATTACCCTAGAATCTTTTCCTTGAATTCTAATGAATGTTCCGTGTCCTTTTTTATGCCACCAACATTCATATTGAAATTGTTGTCAACCCAGCCTCCCCCTTTTTAAGATTCCTGCCCTGAGAGTCAAGCAGGAGCTGCAGATGCACCAGGCTTTAATTGTCCTGAATTCTATTGATTTATCTTTATCATGCAAATGTGCCTCCACTTCATTCAAACAGACCTGTTGGATATTTATTACTGTGCTTCAGTTTTGAAAAAAAAAATAGTCCTCCCCACCCACACACGTGGGAAAGAAGATGAGAGAAACCGGTGACTGTTTCACAGATCCAATACTGGTTGTGGGGAGGACGGGGTAGGGAGAAGGTGTCTTGGTTTAAGGACCTTATTTTGTAATACTGGCGGATGTTAGAACTTACCTATGTGCCCAACTGTTCTTATTACACCCGTGATTCCAGCACTCTGGAGGTGGAGGCAGGAGGAATAGAAGGTCACGACCATCCTGGGCTACATAGGGAGACTCAGTCTCAAAAAAACAAATCAAACAGAAAACCAAGAAGAATTTTCTATGGATGAGTTCCCTTGGTCCATACAGCCCTGCGTGGTTATGCTATTTCCTTCATTTCATAAGAAAAGGGAACTGAGTGGTACAGGAGTCCAATCAAAGAGGAGGAAAACTTCCATCCATGGTTGGTGAGATAGGTCAGTGGGTAAAGATGCTTGCTACCAAAACTGAGGACCTGAGTTCGGTCCCTGCAACCTATGCTGTAAGGAGAAACTCACTTCTGAGAGCTGTCCTTGACCTCCAGACATGTGCAGTGGCATGCCAGCACTCACACACATAATTATGCACACACACACCACCGTCAAATAGTAAGTAGTAGTAGTAGTAGTAGTAGTAGTAGTAGTAGTAGTATAAACTTTTATCCTAAGCAACTATCACACAGTAGATGCTCAGTAAATACATGATTGTTGGTTAATGAGGAGGCAGTGGCTCTGCCTTCCCATCATTTTCTGCAGGATGTTGCAGATGCAGTACTGAGTTCACAAGCCAGATGACGTCTGGGGATAGCTGTTCACATTGCTGCTTGCAGCAGCCAACCTTTTGCAGTTTGGGACTAACCTTAGCACGGTCACCTGACTCTTCTACAGGTTCCAAAGTGGAAAGGGAAGCCAGAGGCTCACTGTGTGATAACTGAGTTCACTTGGAGCCCAGTCCCTGTGGGTCACACCCAGCCATATGGGTTTGGATAAGCTGACCACCCTCTTTAAGCTTTGGTTGCCCCCCTCTAAAATGGGGACAGACAGGAGACTTAACAGAGCCCTTGTGTGAATGTAATACTGTGAAACCAACATTTCTGACTTTTATTACAAACAATAAAATGGCAGGTGAGGGCTGCAGAGATGACTCAGTGGGTAAGAGCATCTGTTGCTCTGGCAGAGGACTGGGGTTTGGTTCTCAGCACCCACTTGGAGACTCATAGCTAGGCTTAGTTCTTGCTCCAAGGAATCAAGTGCCCTCTTCTGGCCTCCCATAGTACTGCACACATCATGCATGTACATGCATCCAGGCAAAACATTCATATACAGCTGGGCAGTGATGGCTTACGCCTTTAATCCCAGCTCTTGGGAGGTAGGGATGGGTGGGTCTTTGTGCGTTACAGACCAGCTTCATCTACAGAGCAAGTTCCAGGACAGGCTCCAAAGCTACAGAGACACCATGTCTCAAAAAAACCACAAAACAAAACAACCCCCCCAAAACATTCATATACATAAACTTTTAAAATCTAAAAGACAGAAAGAATCCCTAAAGCATGACTATGACACATCACTCTGCAGACTGAACAGAGGAGGGGCAGAGGCAGGAGGATGCTGGGGGTGGTTAAGTCCCAGGTTCAGAGAAAACCTTGCCTCAAAGGAAAAGTCAGAGAGTTACAGAGGACACTTAATCCTCGTCTGTGTTCCATGTCAGATATTTTGAATTCCTTTCTTGGTTACAGTATGCTTTAGAAATACGCATTCTGGCCAGGCGGTGGTGGCACACGCCTTTAATCCCAGCACTCGGGAGGCAGAGGCAGGCGGATCTCTGTGAGTTCGAGGCCAGGCTGGACCGACAGCCTCCAAAACAATACAGAGAAACCCTGTCTCGTAAAAACCAAAAAAAAAAAAAAAAAAGAAAGAAATATGCATTCTGTAATAAGATCTGGTGCCCTTTTCTGGCATGCAGGGATACATCACTGTATACATAATAAATAAATCTTTTTTAAAAAGACACTATAAAAAAAGAAATGTGCAGGCCAGGCGTTGGTGGCGCACGCCTTTAATCCCAGCACTTGGGAGGCAGAGGCAGGCGGATCTCTGTGAGTTCGAGGCCAGCCTGGTCTACAAGAGCTAGTTCCAGGACAGCCTCCAAAGCCACAGAGAAACCCTGTCTCGAAAAACCAAAAAAAAGAAAAAAGAAAAAAAGAAATGTGCATTCCTGGTCACACATGACTGTACAGTGGATTGTTTTGGGGTTTCAAAAGGAAGGAAGGGCTGCTAGTGGTGCATCTGTTTAGCAAGCATGAGGTTCTGGGTTCTATCACAGAACCAATACACACACACACACACACAAGTGCACACACATGTACACACACATACACATACATACATGTGCACACACATACACACACTAAGTAAATGAAATATAATTTAAGACATGGGTCAGAAGCTGGGGTAGAGTGTGACATGGTGGCACATACCTTTAATCCCAGCACTCAGGAGGCAGAGGCAGGCAGATTTCTGTGAGTTCGAGGCCAACCTGGCCTCCAGAGTTCCAGGACAGCCAAAGCTATACAAAGAAACCCTGTTTGGAAACACACACACACACACACACACACACACACACACACACACACACACACACACCACTACAGACTAGAGAGATGGCTTGGTCTGTAAAATACTTTCTGCTCAAATTTGAAGCTCCCTAACACCTATGTAAAAGCAAGGTGTGACAGAAAGAATAAAAATAGAACTCTTCATCTTTAAAAATTATCAATTACCTACCAGAGTGTAAAATATCAATATAATTAACACATGTAGGAATCACAGAATTTGTATTTGCCTGGAGTTTTGATGTGGGAATTAAACTTAAGGTCTCAAAAAAAAAAAAAAGAAAACCAAAAATAGCTCAGAACAAAACAAACAAAGAAAAAAACTTAAGCCCTTACATGTTGAGTACAACCAGTGCTACCCAATTGCATTTTGAGCCTGCATTACTCGTTTTTTAATTATTTATTTTTGTGTCCATTGGGGTTTTGTCTGCATGCATGTCTGTGGGAGGGTATTGGATCCCCTGGAACAGGAGTTACAGACAGTTGTGAGCTGACACATGGGTGCTGGGAATTGAACTGGGGTCCTCTGGAAGAGCAGCCAGTGCTCTTAACCACTGAGCCATCTCTTCAGCCTGAGATTGCATTATTCTTTTTATAATTAAACTTGTGCTGACTAAGTTTAGAAGGAAAGTGTATTTCTTTGTCAATTGAAAGAAAAAGGTCACCTGCATTTGAAAGCATTAGGGTTAAAATGTTTTCATTGACTACAGGATCTAACCTGTTGCTATAATAAAAGCTGAGGTTCAAAGAAACTTCCCCTTGATGATCCATTTCAAATGTTCTTGATTTTAATCACTTGCAATTCCAAGAACACTAACTAGGACCTCAAAGAAAACTGTGTGTGTGGTGGAGTGGAGTATGTGCCTATGAGTGCAGGTGTCTATGGCGCCAGAAGAGGGCGCTGGATCACCGGCAGGCAGAATTGCAGGCAGTGATGAACTACTTGAGGTGGGTGTGGGGAACTGAGGATCTTCTGCAAAAGCAGAGTGTGCTCTTAATGAACAAGCCATCTCTCCAGCTGCCTGCCCCCCAGCACCACCTCTTTAAGAGACAGCAAGCACTTCATGCCGCTCAGGCCGCCTCCAGGATTCACAATAAGCACTCAGTAAACCCATGTTAAATATGTGAATATTTTGGTGTGAGCCAAGAAAATGTCCTTGGAAACGCTTTGACAGAGAGAGCTGAAGGGGAGTGAGTCATGTCGGGGAATCACCGCAGTTAGCTGAGCAGTCGCTGTGTGGCTGTGCCCATGCCAACTCTTCATTGTCTCACCTCCTTCAGTCTTCCCCAGAGATTCTCCTTCCCCTTCAGAACGTACAGGGAAATCACATTCTAAATACACGCGCTAAATTTTAAAGTTAACGTCAAAGACAAAGTACAATCAAAACGTTGTGCACAGTCTAAATAACCGAGGGAGGTCTAATAGCACCAGCATAGCCACAGTGGTTCACAACCACCTGTAACTCCAGCTCCAGGGGATCCAGTGCCCCCTTCCGGCCTCCTCAGTCACAGCACGCACGTTGTGCACAAACATACATGTAGGTCTCACAGATACACATAAAATTAAAATAAACAAATGTTTTTGCTGTTGTTGTTTTTCAAGACAGGGTTTCCCTGGGTAGCTTTGGAGCCTGTCCTGGAACTAGCTCTTGTAGATCAGGCTGGTTTGGTCTCGAACTCACAGAGATCCACCTGCCTCTGCCTCCCAAGTGCATGCACCACCACCTGACACAAAATAAACAAATCTTTACGTTTTTAAAAAAGAGTGTGAGCCGGGCGTTGGTGGCGCATGCCTTTAATCCCAGCACCTGGGAGGCAGAGGCAGGCGGATCTCTGTGAGTTCGAGACCAGCCTGGACTACCAAGTGAGTTCCAGGACAGCCTCCAAAGCCACAGAGAAACCCTGTCTCGAAAAACCAAAAAAAAAAAAAAAAAAAAAAAAAAAGAGTGTGCACAGCTCTTCCAGAGGATCTGAATTTAGTTCCTGGCAGTTAGGTCAGGCAACTCACAACTTCCTGCCCGTAACTTCAACTCCAGGCTCGAGGGACTCCAAAACCCTTTTCTGGACTTACATGCACGTACCCTACCAACACACACATAGTGACCAAAATAATAAAAATAAATCTTCAACAAACAAATAACAATTAATAAAAACTAATTAGGCCAGGCGCGGTAGAGCATGCCTTTAATCCCAGCCCTCAGAAGCAGAGGCAGGAGGATCTCTGTGAGTTTGAGGCCAGCTTGGTCTAAAAAGTGAGTTCCAGGCCAACCATAACTACATAGTGAGACCCTGTCTCAAAACAAACAAACAACAAACCCCTAACTTAAGCATACACTGAAGTGGGATCCTGCACCCAGCAAGCTCACCTCGAAACACAGGGTCCTTAGTGGGGACATTGAGTGCCTGACAAACCAACTCACCTTCTTACTTGAACTAAGTTCACTGGGATGTCTACATACATGGTACCACTGAGGGATGAGGGGCGGAGTCATGAAATGACAGGTGGACAGGGCAGGAGCTGGGACTGTCAAAAGAGGATGCTCGGTGATCCTTGTAGGAGGCCTAGAGGGGGCTGGACCGAGGCAGAGTAGAGGAATGAAGCCCTCGAGTTACATGGGCTGGCAGGGGGACGAGGACCCCTCGGGGGTCCCTGGACAACGCGCCCACGACACGCAGCCCCGGGGCTTCCCCGCTGTCACTCACCGGCTCCTCAAGCCGCAAGTTTCTCTGCCCACAATTAACCAACTCGGCGGTCCCTGTGTTGCTAGGTTACGCGCCAATCTTAGAAGGCGGGACTCGGTGTTTGACTGACCTCCTTTTTCCACCGTTCAACTTCTAATCAGGCCGCCTTGGCTCCGCCTGCCGAACGATGACCAATCAGAACCACCGTTTCTCTGACGTTTCGCCAATGGGAAGACCCGGAATTCTCATTGGTTGAGCGATTAAAGCGGGGGGAAAGGGGTGGAGTTTCTTCGCTCCGCCCTCCCTTCGGGAGGAGGGACGTGAGAACGGTGAGTGACGTGCAGATTACCAAGTTAAGTTTCATTGCGGCCTCTCTGGTGGCCAATGGGCCGTGGCGTGGGGTCGTGGGGCGGGGCCTGCGGGGCTGAGTGACGGGAGTCGGCGGATGCAAGGGCTGGCGCAGCTGCTGCTGTGGCAGCGGTGAGGCGGCGGTGGCGGCTGCAGTGGCTCCGCTGTCGGGATATTGGCAGCGGCAGCTGCAAGCTGGGCTGCGCTGTGCAGATCCGGTGCACGGTGCGGGATCCCGGGACAGCGCGTGTAAGAATCCGAGGGGTGCGCCGGCTTGGCCCGAGGACAGGGTTCAGGGGTCAGAGGGCGCCGAGAAGGGGCTGAGACTGGGGCTGGGAGCTCCCAGCGCCCGAGGCGGGGCCTGGGGAGGTGCTCCGCGTGCTTCTCCCCCCTGCACGTTCACTTCTTTCTGCACCTTTCTCTTTGCCTTGACTTCCTGGGGCGATCCGGATCGCGGCGGGGAGCTGGAGCCCCCGCGCGACCCTTCTCCCGCTTCCTTCCCTCCCCGCTCACCTCCCGGCTGCGACCTCTTGTGACCGGGCCGGGGACTCCTGCTTGGGTCAGCCTGACTCTGGGGGCAGACAGCTAGCGGGATGGCAGCTCTGATCCCGGGACCTTCCTTCATTGGTGACCTTCCCTCAGGGGTGACCCTCTGGGTCCTCTCTAGAGTGCGGACCGAAGTCTGCTGAAGGGCAGGACCTGAGGAGCCCCGAGTTCTGCCTCTGAGTCTGCTGTGTGACCTTGGGCAGTTAGTTTCCTTCTCTCTGGGCCTCGTTTCCTTCTCTTTGAAAAGTCAATAGGCACATTAGGAGAAGGATGGCAACTTCAAGGCTATCCAAGACTAGACAGGGATATCCCTGTCTCGAAAGACAAAAACAAGAAAGTGATTGGTGGATTTCTCTTAAGTGGCGTGCAGTTTCTAGGAATAGTTTAGCGGAAAGTGCCTCAGTTCGTGCCACCTGCTTTCTAGTCGGCCTGATGGAACTTGTAGTTGTTGACTCACGAGAGAGTTAGCCAGGCTAAGAAGCCGCCTCATCGAAAAAGTGAGATGCTTGCTAACCTAGGCTGTACCGAGGGCAGAGCTGTTGAGTCTGAGCCAAAAGTCTGTTTCCTGTGGGTGGGGTCTCAGCTGTGCACTGTAGATATTTAGTGGCCTCTTTGGACTCCCTCAAGATCATTCCCAAGTTGTGACGCCGGAAATATTTCTAGTCAGTGGGGACAAAGTCACACCAGGCGAGAGCCATTGAGGTAAGACAAGGCTCGCAGGAATGGAGTCATACGTTCAGTGGTTAAAACGGAAAACCCGCTAGCTAGGAGGATACTAATGACAAAATTTAGAAACCGGTATGAACTGGGAGTTTTTTTGCCTTCCAAATAAATAGAGAGTGCACTGTCAGAGCCTTCTTGTGGTTTTAATGTAGTGTGTTCAAGTAATCCTTCTACCATGGGGTGTGTTAGACAAGAGAGTTTAGCCAGTACACGGCACTGGGAGAGGAGAAAGTTAAGCCAGAATACAAAACACAGCACAGTTCTCTAGACAGCCAAATGATGGCATCTGCTACTGTCTCTCCCCTAGTTGAGATCTTAAAGCAAAATAAATCCCCAAATCTGCAGGAAAAGTAAAAACGAAAAACCAAACCAAACTGCACTTGCAGGAAGTTTGCTGGGCAGAGAGTTGCATGCTTAGTTGGCTGCAATGTGGTGTTTATCTCTGCTGCTGCCTCTGTTGAAGGAAAGCCTGTTGATGTTCCCATCACCACCCCCAAAAGGAGGCATTGCGCAGTTGCTTTGGAGGCAGAATCCATCCAGTGCCCGGGCCACAGCTGGAGGCAGCAGCCTGCTGCTGTTTCCAAGTTCAAAGGTCCCAGGCAGATACGCTGAGCTCTGCTTTTCTTTTCATCTCGGTAAGCAGAAGTGGAATGTACAAACAGCCACTGCAGCACACCAGTTCTGAGTCTTTTAAACCTGGAGGGAAGGATGGGCCCCTCTGGTTACAAGTTGTAAAAATGTGGGTGTCCCCCTTCTCCTTATCTAACATCCACATCGCTGAGGTCCATACAAGAACAATGCCGGGCTGGCCACCAGCAAAGCCACGATGATCTTGTGTATCCCCAAGAGGGCACTTAACAAAGCTAAAGTGGAAATTGTTCACAGACATAAAAAGAGAGACCAGGACAAGCTTGGAGAGCCGGACGCACTCACTTTTTATTACTGTTGTCTGAAGACCAGACCTGGGGGTTTAGAGGGCACTGGGCACTGTAGGTATCGTGATGGCTAGGGGTATGGGCAAGGCAAAGCTTGGATTTCTGCCTGTGGACTGTCAGGCAAGTTACCTAACCTCTCTGCCCCTATCTGATTGATGTGTAGGACTATTAGTGAGTTTTTGGTCACCTAGTTGTAAATTGCTAGTAGGGTCCCTGGCATAGTTTGAGTACTCTTTGAAGATGAAGTGCTAAACATTATAATCGTTATAAATTGTTTTCCCTTTAAAATCTTTACAAAGCACAGAGATAAGTGAAAAGTAGGCTAGTGTTGTTCATGCTAGTCCCATTCTTCGTTAGCTCAACTTTTCAGTGTTCTTATAGGAACCTTCCCTGTATTTTATGTTTATTGTCATTATTTTAAAATTTGATGTTATGAATGTTTTACACACACACACACACACACACATACACACACACATACCACATGTGTGCTTATTGCCCAAGGAGGCCAGAAGAGGGTGTTGAATCCCGAAACTGGAGTTAAAGATGGTTGTGAGTCACCACGTAGGTGCTGGGAACAAGAGTCTTCTGCAAGAACAGCAAGTGCGCCTTACTGCTGAGCCACCTCTCCAGCCCCCCATGCCTCCTTTTTTGAGATATGCTCTCACTGTGCAGTTCTGGCAGTCTGAACTCTATAAACTACTGGCCTCAACTTACAGAGATCTGCCTGCTTCTGTCTCCCAAGTGCTGTGAGTAAAGGTGTGTGACCCCCGCCCTCCGTTACACACACACACTCTCTCTTTTTTTTCAAGACAGGGTTTCTCTGTATTGCTTTGGAGCCTGTCCTGGAACTCACTCTGTAGACCAGGCTGGCTTCGAACTCACAGAGATCCGCCTGCCTCTGCCTCCTGTGTGCTGGGATTAAAGGCGTGTGCCACCAACACCCCGGCCACACACTCTCTTTTAAGGTAGACTCTTGCTATATAGTCCAACCTAGCCTTGAACTCTGCTATCCTCCTGCCTCAAGCTCCAAGGTGTTGGGATCATAGCACATGTTGCAATTCCTAGCATTCTCTCTCTCTAAGTTGAAATACAGTGGTGGTGTGGGCTGCGGCTCAGGAGGTAGGGCGATGCCTAGCATGCACATGGCCCTGGGTTCAGTCCCCAGTTTCCTCTCAACCATTTGTGACACACATGTGTAGTCCCAGTGGAGGCCGGGGGACCAGAAGCTCAAAGCCACCCTCCACTTTATAGCATGTTTGAAATCAGCATGGGCTACATGAGACTCATCAAGAAACAAACACTTTTTATACTGGAAGTTACTGTGACAAAAGATAAAATTCAGTGGTTTTTGCCTGGCCTCTGGTTGTACTGCTCCCTGGAGCTGTCACTGCTCCCTGACTCTAGAATACATTCATCAGTAATGGTTATGTTTTAATCGTTGCCTTTCTTTTTTTATCCTCCAGACCCTAGAAGATGCCTCTGATGGAGTGGGCTTTGAGAAGCATCTCTGGCCCTGTGGCTTTGAACAGGAGCTCAACCCAGAGACCATTTAAAGCCCTGGCCATTGCATCCTGAGGACCACAGGACAGGGGAACATGGCTGTGAGCTTAGATGACGACGTGCCACTCATCCTGACCTTGGAGGAGGGTGAGAGTGCTCCCCTGGCTCCTTCCAACAGCCTGGGCCAAGAGGAGCTGCCCAGCAAAAGTAAGCCAATGGACAGCGGGGTGGGCGGGGCTTATAGCGTGTCTGTTAAGGGAGTGAGAGACAGGTGGGCTCCAGTCTCTAAAAGGAAGAAGAGCCCTGTTACCCTTCTCAAGTGTGACACAGACTTTGCTCCTGGGCGACTGTGAGTGTGAACCCAGCCTTGCAATGTTTCTGGGGTGCAGGAGCCCTCACTCCTGACACATTTAGCTTTGTCTCTGCTGCCCGGGGACCACGGGCAAAACTGTCTTCCCCGCCTCATCCCTTTTTAATAGAAATATCCCTGTGGGTCCCCACCTGAAGCTGGTAGGGAAGCTGAGCTGTCATCTGCCTGCCCTTTATCTTTTGTCTCAGAGTGGGGTGCAGGGCGAGTCTTGTGGTGTATTGATCAAGGCTTTGGGGTTTCACATTGTCTTTCTGGGAATAGAAACCTGGTACAAAGTAAGCCCGAGAGAGGGGATGCGCTGTCTGTGTTGCCGACTGTAAGTGTCTTTCTGGCAGAGAGAGAGGCCTTAAAACCCTTGCTGGTCCTCATCCCAAAACCATTGCTCCATTCGCTCAGGACAAGGGTTCAGGAGAGGCTTAAAATAACTTACCTTTGCAGAGGGTCCTCAGACAGGGAGCGGGGCTTCAGGGCTCCCCGGTGAGTGCGGACAGCCTGCCAGGGTGGAGGATCAAAGGATACCAACCACACTCACACCCACGGAAGATCTTGTGGACCAGGCGGCGCTAGCCTGGTGCCTCATCTTGTTTGTCCAAAGAGAATACAGTTAGGCTTTGGGGATCTCGGGGCTACCTGGGGAGGGATGAAGGAGAGCAGTGCTGCAGGGTGAGGGTGCTGGGTGCTGACGATCTACAAAGCACCTTGTTGCCTCATGCTTATGCTCACCTCCACCGTCCTGAGTGGCCAAGCAGTCTGATACTCCCGCTAAGGGCCGTGCAGATACAGAACCCTGCCTCTGACTCTGGGTCCTAACCGACTCTCTTTTTGAGAGCTCCTGCAAAGAAGGTGGTATTTTTCCTATTTTACAAAGGAGGAAACAGAATCAGAGAGGTTGAGTAAGTTTCCCAGAGCCACATAGCCATCTAGTGAGTGAGGAAAGGTTTGAACCCAGGCCTGTCTGACTGAAGTTTCTGCCCTTCTCCTTCCTTTTTAATTCGTCCTGCAGCTCCTGCTTCTCCTTCCCCACCTTCATTCTTTTTTTTTTTTGTTTTGTTTTTCGAGACAGGGTTTCTCTGTGGCTTTGGAGGCTGTCCTGGAACTCACTCTGTAGACCAGGCTGGCCTCGAACTCACAGAGATCCGCCTGCCTCTGCCTCCCGAGTGCTGGGATTAAAGGTGTGCGCCACCAACGCCCGGCCCCACCTCCATTCTTTACCCGCTCTGCACGCAGACTGGTGGAAGCCCTTAGGGTTGGCTAACATTTTTATTTGAGTTCATTGAGTTCATTTGTTTGCTGTCTTGAGAATTCAACCCACAGCCTGGCACATGCTAGGCTTGTCATGTGACCACAAGACAGAGCTATTATTGCTACCTGTGTTTTACAGAGGAGGAACCAGCCTCAGAGAGGTCTTGGCGGGGTCACACAGCCAGTGAGCAGAACCTTTTCTGGTTGTTTTTCCTGTACACTGTGGAGTTGCTCTGGGGAGGGAGGGGGAGAGAGAGACAGAGACAGAGACAGAGACAGAGACAGACAGAGAGAGAGAGAGAGAGAGAGAGAGAGAGAGAGAGAGAGAGAGAGAGAGAGAGAGAGAGCAGGCAAATGAGTCAGCCTCAGGGGACATGCCCTCAGGAGGGCCCCTGTCACCTGCAAAAGGGAATGCACTAACTAAATGGTGTAGTGGTGGATGCCTTGTTAGGGTGTGACTTATGGCTGCTCAGAGGCAGGCTCACTTCTAAATGGGAACCTTGGCTGTCTTCATGCTCTTAGATCCCTCCAGAGGGCCCCAGCTGGAGGTAGGGTCTTGCTCTCCCACCCCTGAAAGTTGAAGAGAGCGACCCAGTCCTGCACCTGAAGCAAGCCTCCGGTTCCCCTCTCTCACACTGTTATGGGGGTACTTCCTGAAAGCCCTGAGAAGCAGAGGCTACATGCAGCACAGCTGGCTGAGGGCAAGCACGGCCTCTCTGAGGAGAAACATCGTCTTAGGGCTTTTGTTGCTGTGATTAAACACCACAATCCGAAGCACCCTGGGGAGGAAAGGGTTTATTTCTTCTTACACTTCCAGGTAACCTTCAATCACTGAAGGAACTCAAGGCAGGAACCTGGAGGCAGGAGCTGATGCAGAGGCCATGGAGGGTGCTGCTTACAGGCTTGCTCCCCATGGCTTGCTCTCTTGTTCTCTTACAGCACCCAGGACCACCTGCCCAGGGGTGGCCCCTCCTACAGTGAGCTAGGCCCTCCCATGTCAATCACAGATCAAGAAAATGCACTGCAGGCTTGCCTACAGGCCTATCTGGGAGGCAGCATTTTCTCAAGGGAGGCTCCCTCTTCTAAAAGGACTCTCGACATATCTGATGTTGATATAAAACTGGCCAGCTCGGATGGGCTGTTAAAGGAAGCCCGCAGACCTCTGCCCAGGCCTGGCCATCTCATGTTTAGATTTTCACATTGTCCTGAGGTCCCCTACTGTCTGAGCTGTCAACATGAACCACACCCAACCTGGCAATTTCCCCATCCTAAAGCTCTTTGGGGAGTGTCCCAACCCTACAAGGTGGAGCCAAGCGGTTTTGCTTGGTGTCCCACGCCCTCTTTTCTGACTGACCCTGTTTCCTGGGCCAGCCCATGTGTCACTCTGTGCTGTTTTGAGTCTGGGCTTTGGTCAGGGAGTCTGTTTGGAAGATAGTCCTAGGTCCTCCTGTTTTCACAAGGATTCCAGTTGGAGCCGAGAACTCCCTGTTCACAAAGTTCTGTGAGTGCTCCTGCTCACGGGGTTCTGTGAGATCTGCTCATGTGGTTCTGTGAGGTCTTCTAAGTCTCCTTAGAGAGGGTTAATTACTTTCCTGCAGGGAGATAGCCAGCATGTGGTAATTACTCAGTTAGTGTCTGGTTACCTGCTGGGCTCTGAGTTCCATTCATCTTAGTTTAGGGCCTGAAGGTTCAGGAACTTCTCAGGCAGTGGCAGAAAGGAACCTAGAAGGGTTTCTGGAGCCTCGAAGCTTGCAGGAGTGGCTGACAAAAGGCCCTTGTCAGATGTGAGTGTCATTAGGTCTGTTTTTGCTCTAGAACTAGGGGCAGAGTCTCATCTCTTCCAGTAAATACCTCATGGTTCTAGAAGCCCCAGGCCCTGTCTACCGTTGCTGTAGACCCTGGGGTACCCAGAGCAGGCAGATGCGGACAGCAGATCAGTGGGGTTGGGAGCCATGTGCCCTGCAGATGGCCATCTTGCTGTCTCCTCAAAACCGGCCCATACATAGTGCCTCATATTAACTCAGTTACCTCTAAAGACGCCATCTTGAAGCAAACATCTCCTATTCTGAGACTCTAAGGTCAGCACTTCCACATAGAGATTTGTTTTTATAATATGCTTATTTCATTTGTGTGCATGGGTGTGTACACATGCACATTCCTTGGCACACACGTGGGAGTCAGAGAACAACCTGCAGGACTCAGTTCTCTCCACCATGTACATCCGGGGTCATCAGACTGAACCATCTGTACAGCCCCAGGAATTTTTTTCCTTATTGATTAGTTGAGGGGAAGATGGGTTGAGACTGGGTCTGTCTGGTGGCAGGGTGGTTAGAGACAGCCAGCAGTCTGTACACATGCCAGGGGGTGGTCAGGGCTGCATGTACATGGCAGTCTAGACAATGGATGCACCTCGTGCCTCCTGGCAATTCCCGTTAGAATTGTGCCTCCCACATGCCTTTAAGCCCACATGCGTTTTCTGGTGACATGAGCTGGCTACTTTGGTGTGGCATTATTATGGTATCTAGATGACAAGTTGGTCAGGGTTGGGCCTAAGAGGACAGAACAGAGTCTTACTGCTCAGGCCTAGGACACAGAGCCCTATCTGTAGGGAAGGCCACTGTCCCCACAGGGACCTGTGTGCGCCACCCTGGCTCCTTTTCTAGAGACTTCATATAGCTTGAGCCAGCTGGCACCAGGCACCATCTAGGTGACCAGAGCTGCTGACCTCAGGCAGATGTGGCCAAGAGGAGCTGGGAAGGAACAGCAGGGCTTTTCTCAAGGGACAGTCAGTACAACAGTCCCTCCGTGGAGCAGTCTCATTCCATAGCTTTTTGTTAGGCCAAACATTCCAGCATGCTTGTTTGAGAGGGAAGGACACCCAAGGGTCAGCCATGGTCTCTGTCACTTGTAGCCTGTCTGGTGGGGTGGCTGTGTGGGTTCTAGAGTCAAGCCCCAGGCTGTCAATCCTAGCTGAGAACATACCTGGGTTCTTACAGTCCCCCAGCCAGGTGGGCGGGGACTTGGCGAATCGCTGTGGATCACGTGATCCGTACCTGGCCAGTGATGACATAGGTCATAAGGCTGCAGCCTGGGCCCTCCCATGGAATGTCTGCAGTGAGCAGGAGTCTTGAACTCAGGATGAGCTGGGAGTCCATATTGCCCCACTCCCAGCCCAGCGGGTGGCTACCACCACACAGGGACATCCGAGGCAGTGTAGCAGTCAGAAACCAAGAACAATTAAGTTTCCACAACCTCCCACTTTGCCTGGCCACCTGGCTCTGCCAGATTCATTCCTCTGACTTTTATAGGGCAGAGTGCTGGATGTCACCAGATTGTTGGTGGTACCAATTAAAATGATCGAGCACCCAGCATGCTGAGACGGAGCCTCGTAATGGAGGCTCCAAGCCTTAAGCATCTTGGCCCTCTGCATCTTCATAGGGGGATCCTGTCTGTTGCCTCAGGCCCCCCTGCCACGAAATGCCATCTCTTCCTCTGCACAAAGAAAGCCACCGCATCTAAATGGCAGGCACAGCAGCTGGGTGCGGGCTGGCACCTGCTGCCCTGCTCCGCCAGTCACCCGAAGGAGGTCTAAGAT